ATGCACAATCATTGGTTATGTTACACACTTAATACGTACCAAAAATAATAGTTTGTATTATAATTTCAATGTATCAATTTATATTCAGTCCAGAGCAATGTCACAGAGGTCTTTTCAAAGACCTAAACGCTTTGTAAGCTAAAGAAAAATAATAAAACTGGTTCCCATAAGTACCTATCTTATGTACTCTGTCAACACAGACGTCAATCTCGATGCAGACGTTGCGCGTGATGGGACACCATCAAGTACAGTTGAGTGCATAGCTTGCCTGAACTTTATGTAGATCGTTATAAAGCTCACATACCGTCTAGACGTACGCGGGCGACTGTACACGAGCTTTGAAACTCGCGACCTTCGACCGTATCTCCGCGCGTTAAGGTGCACGAGATTTCGCTCAACTTTGTTCTCTCACTACGGGAGTCGCGACCGATCGATTGTCTGTGTATTCGTTATTTGTCCCTTTCAAATGCATATGCGTCGCGAATCCAATTTGCTAATGTGTATTGATTGATAGTAATATGATAAATGGTTATCATGCTCGCAAGTTCACGGCCACACAGTAGACCTGCGTATAGTGCAAGTATTTAAACTTTTTATTAACAGACTTCAAAAAAGAAGAAGGTTTCTGAATTCGATTTTTTATGTGTGTTCGCGGATAACTTCGTCGTTTATGAACAGATTTTGATGATTCTTTTTTGTTGGAAAGGAGATATCCCAAGGTTGGTACCATGATCCCAGAGAAATCGAGGGCAATCCTCAATGTTATAAGTTTTAAAAATGTTTTTTAGTCTCCGGTTTGAAGTCAGTTTTTTTTTTATTAAAATTTATTCGTTTCCCCGATAGCCCTGGCTCAGGTGCTTTCTTTTTCTTTCGCTCTGTATTCATTTTACAATCGATTTTCAGGAATTCCCTAAGTATCTCCGGAGCCCAAGATCCAATACCAATGAAATTAGTACGGGACCACATGGGAAGCACTAGCTTTGAAATAAAAAAAGAAACATAAAAATCGGTTCATTATGTCGAAAGTTCTGTGGTAACATAAAAAAAATGCAGTCGAATTCAGAAGCTCCTCCATTTTTGAAACTGAACCTTTTTTGACAACAAATTATAGTAAATCCGCAACAAATGAACACGAATAGACACTATTTTGGTAATGAGCATTAAATAAAAGACTTCAAAAGGGGAGCGGTCCTATAATCTATACGAATTTATTTATTACTAGCTGAACTCCGCAAACGTTGTTTTGCCGTATAAATTATTTCTAGAGGAATCGGAACGCACGCATAGTGCTTGACAGGTTAAACAGACATAGGTGACAGGTTGACGGGTACAATTTGTATGGGAAAATAAAACTGTTGCTATTTCGATTTTCCATGCAGTTTTTCCACAATTTCTCATCGTTTAAACCTTCCCTGGACTGCCACAAATATTTCAAAACCAAAATTAGCCAAATCGGTCCAGCTGTTCTCGAGTTTTGGCGAGACTAACGAACAGCAATCCATTTTTATAATTATATAAGACAAGCTGACTCGGCAAACGTTGTTTTGACGTATAAATTATTTCTAGAGGAATCTGAACGCACGCAAAAATGTTTGACAGGTTACACAGACATAGTTGACAGGTACAGTTTGTATGGAAAAATAAAATTGTTGATATTTCCATTTTCTATGCAATATAATTTCTCATCGGTTAAACCTTCCCTGGACTGACACAAATATTTCAAAATCAAAATTAGCCAAATCGGTCCAGCCGTTCTCGAGTTTTAGTGAGACTAACGAACAGCAATCCATTTTTATATATAAGATTCTTGTAGTAATGATTTTCTAAATTCCTCTATGAAGCCCTGTCATGAATGCATGCCCTGAATTTGCATGTCAAAGAGATCAAACAATGGAAAGAATGCGTCGGGAAGATGAGAATACTTCTTCGAAATCCAAACCCGAATTGTAAAACCATGGAATCTTATAAGAAGTGTTGACTCATTCTCTTCTCAAATCGTACAAGAGATATGTGATAACGTTAAAATACGATATTTTGCAGGAGTCAAAAAGGAATAGTTAGTAACCGCGGATCTGCCCATCGCATCTAGAAATAAAATATTTATATTATGAAAGACAAAAGTATATCACATCAATATAGTAAGTAGTATATCACATATTAATACATCTCCTTACCGAATTTCATTCGGTTCTGTTGAGCCATTGCGACGTTAAAAGGAAAAAAAAACCACCAACACACGAACTATTGTTTTGCATTGAGCTTTCGAACGATAACAGTTTATAAGCCAGTTTAGCTATGATGATAGCAAATATTTCAATATATTGCCGCTTTCCAAAAATACTACAGTTTTCTTTCGTTGATAAAGACGTTATATAAGCAGCGGAATGGATGAAACTTTGCCAATATGAACCCAAATTCGTCGATATTAAATCGATTGATTCAGGGTCATTCAATACAGGGGATGCTTAAGAGGCTTATTGATGGAGTCCATTTATGGGTCAGTCCAGATCTACAGGTTTCACAGTGAGGTTGTCTTGCCTTTTCCGAACGCCAGATCTGCGGATCGTCTATGAATCACGCTTGCTACCAGCGACCTTGCCGAGCCGTCGTAAAAACGGGGAAAGGAAATTCCTCGCATACGTCGCGCCAAAGACAAGCGTTTCGGCGCTATTATTAAGAACCTAAGACGGACTGCCTTCGGTTCATTTATCTGACATGTGACAATGCGTATGCCATTCTTAAACGCTTCAGTATTATTATGTCGCCTCAGTTTTGATGACTTTAAAAATACTACTAATTACCGAAACTACAAAATTAATGAACATGCATTAAATATAATATTCCAATGAGACGTTTAATGAAAATCAGAAACAGCTCGGGTTCATTAATATCAGAGAATCTTGGAGCTTTCTGAGCTGACACCAGAACCAAAATCTAGCCCCAAGGTATATGGGGTCAACCTGAACACTTGATCAGGACTACTCATATTTGCGCGTAAAATATCTAGGTGCATACCAGACAGATTCTGAAACTCGACACGTAAGTGACCTAACAATAGTACTTCTTATTATAAAAAATCGGTAGATATGAAAATATGTAAAAAATATGTAGAAGTATTCTAAAAAAAAATTAATATCATTCGTCATCGGCTTTTATTCTTATTGTTTTGGTCTAGGTAGATAAAGTAACAGTATATATAAATTTACATAACAACTCGGCTGTGTAAAAACAGTAAAAGGTGTTAACGCATCTGTAACCCTAAGGGTGTTAAAAAGTCGATAGGATAACCGTCGAACCGTCATAACTTAACATCAGGTGACCCGTCAGTTGTTCATCATTGACAGAAAATTTTTTTTCCTCGAAAATTTAAAATTTATGTAAGGTATGCATTCCATGTATAAAAAGAATATAATAAAATGATCATAAAAATAAGTATTTTTCACGGAATGTATAGTGCAAAATTCAAAGTAATCGAAATAAAAGTGAATTGACAAATCAGTAAATTTTTATATCAAATAGTTTGAGCGATTATTCGTTAGGAAATGTAATCTTTTATGTACATAGTTTTGTGGCTTCCTGTTATTTTTTTTAAATAAAGCGAACACAGCATATTTTTACAACCGTTTTTACGGATAATGCCTTATTAATTCGATATAATGCAAGTAAGTACGCAATGTTAGATATAATCGACTAATAGTATTTATATTACTACGTAATATATAATTACATTGGAAATAAAAGGGACAGCTACTTGATTAAGTTGGCGCGAATTATGTCGTAGTATAAGCTCTTAGTGGATTCTTGCAGCCGATCGGCCAAAGGCAAGCTGTGACAACCGACGCGGAATGCGGTGCGGCCGAGGCGACCCATTTACCACGCCCTCCCCTCCCCACCTCAGTTCCAAGTTCTCCTCCCCTGCAGCACCCAGTGGGTGGCACCGGCCCTGCGTGCCCTCGATGAGTTGCCGATTGATTCCGCGTTGCAAAATAACAAATAAACTGTACGCGTAATGACAGCGATAAAAGCGCGCCTAAATGCTACAAGGGAGTTTGTCGGTTCCTAGCCGCCATTTTGATTTTAACGTCAAACAAACATGAGTGACGGTTAAAAAAGCGGATGTTTTTACAGTGCGAAGAGTTTCATATACTAAACAAAATATTTAACTTTAAGAAAAAAATTAAAATTACGCGACTAATTTAAATGTATCAATTTAAATGTATGCATGTCTGTATTTATTGCAGCCGTGTAAACATTTATTTTTCCATTCATACATTCTCATTACAAAACGAGAGTAAAAACGAAACGTAATAATTGAGGTGTAATTAAAAACTACTAAATTTAAATTCAACGTCTAAGTAAATATTTTGAATAACCTAAAGTACATATTTCGAAAAACAAAATCAGCCACGAATAAGCAGAAAATTTTGCTCCGGAAGTTGCTTAGGACGTTTGTGCGACTTTACAGAGATTGTGCTACTTACGGTTTGTTTACATTTAAAATTTCGTGCGCGATGCCTCTTTTTTTCGGTGTAGCAATGAGCACGAATTGATACATGCATGACTCACTTCCTGCGGTTTAAGAGACGATGAGCGGTTTAACTATACAGGGAAGTATACCGAGAAAATCATTGCAAAGAAAAATAATGATATGTTATCAAGTAATGTAACGAAATAATGTTTACATTTCTTCATTTATAAATAACACTAATCTGTTTTTCCGATCACTCGGTATCTTATAGCCTGTTGAAAGAAAAAAAACAATTTTTACGAGTTATACGTTTAGAAACTGTAACACAGTTTATTCGAGTAGGGCCATACTTATGCACGCGAATGAATATCGAACATTACGCAACAACTTCCACATCTGTTTCACGCCGCATTCGAGCTATTTACGATCCACGTCACAGATATGGGCGAGCGAACTTGGTGACTAATCGCGAATCAGTCCAGGGAGCCTGGGTGAGTCAACTCGCCCGTAGAGGTGCCCAGAGCGACTCGAGATGCGGGCCCGCCAGTGGCGCCACCGGTGCGACCAGTTCCCGAACGTGGCCCCGCGTGAGTCACTCCGCAATGGGTTCGCGGAATCGAATTTCGAACGCCGCGGACCGTTGCGAAACCGAAGGCGGGGAGGCGTCCCGCGCAGAGGTCCGAACCCGCTCGACTTCAGGGTCGTGCGAATCGAGGTACGAGTGAACTAGCAAACGCGACGTATAAACGTAAATGTTATTAGTCTCTGCCGGTGCATACACCTAAGGTGCTCGAGATTTACATGATTCATTTTTCACAAGTCAATTATTTTTTAAAAACGAAAAACAAAACCAACTTCAAATATCTCGCTCTGTATTCATTTTATAATTGATTTTCAGGAGTTCCCTACGTACTCGTATCTCCGGAGCCCAAGATCCAATACCAAAGAAATTAATATGGGACCACATGGGAAGCACCAGCTTTCAAATAAAATAAGAATCATCAAAATCGATTCGCTCAGTCGAAAGTTCTGAGGTAACAAACATAAAAAAAAAAATGCAGTCGAATTGAGAACTCCTCCGTTTTTGAAGACGGTTGAAAATGTAACACGACATTTGGACAGGTTTTTTAATAAAAATTTTTAGAAAAATGGACGGAAAGTGTTACGCCGCTGTGTGAGGAAGTTAATCTTAATAGTAGAGAGTAACACTATAAAAATAAATTTCCTTTAGTTTTTAAATATTTTATTGTAAAATGTTATATTAATAAGTGGATACCAAGCAATGCTTAAATCGTATTATAAAACAAAATAGAAATGTTCTAGAATTGATAAACAGGTGTATAATGAAGATTCAACTTAAGTACAGAGAATAGCACTAAAAAAGTTATTATACTTTAAAATTTGTTTTGGCATCCTTTGTGTCACGATACGTACAAGATGAGTGTCAAACTCTATGTTAGTTCTAAACATTACTATAACGAATTAAAATTGTTTATAGTGCTAATCTTTACACTTAAGGTTGATTTTTTCTACACATTTTAATTCCTATAACGAATTGAAAAAGGAAATATTTTTTATGTGAGAAGGTGGCAAGCAAGCTGGCGGTTCACTTGATGATAAGCGATAACCGCAATACCCGTCGGCTTGCAGATACGTTGCCACCGTTTAATAAAGTGGGTCCCGGCTACCTCACTCACCAGACGAAACCCAAAAGTATGACGGTCCCACGGACGGACCTGCCAATTCGTGCAACAGCCGAAGCTGCAGCGTGGCCCTGCCACATAAATTGTGAGCATCTGAATAAGAGTATGCTTAACTCACACGATTTAACTTTTATTTTTAAAAGACTATGTAATTGCGAACCGTATGGAACATCTTCATGCAATAAACCGTTTCCGTCCCCTGCGTGAAAAGAGAACATAACAACGATAAAAATAAAATAGGACGAATACCAACTCAATAGATTCGATCGTCTTATTTTATAGGACGAATAGCAACTCGCAAGGCTTGTGAGTGTGAACCCATGGTTCAACATCGAGCGCTGATTCTCCAATCCCTTTTTTGCTGTAAACGTTGTAATGTTGTTGGCAGGTAATGCTGTTGGTACGGGACACCGTTGGTCAAAAGCACGTAGCCCAACGAGAAACGGCGATTTGGTAACGACCGACTTAATTAAACAGGTTTGTATAACGACGCTCTTCGGGCTCGAAGGCGTTTTGCGATCGATTTACTCATAACGGGCCCGTATATGGGGTTAATGCTACTTTATAATTTACTTCCATTCTACGTTTCAGTCAAAACACGCAGAAAATCAATCTAGGTGAGACAATCAAGTGTTGCGTTCTTAAAAATTGACTTTTATCACTTCATTCTCTGACGTCTTATGGTCATTGAATAACGGTATATAATTCTACAAATTTTTGAGACCTCGATTGCGGTTTCACTAATATAATATGAAAGCTAATTTATTAATTCGCTACATTTTGAATTTCTTATGTAACCTTTGAATATATTATGTTCCTATGCAATAGATGCGTCACATTCTTCTAGATGTGTTTAAAAGTTGAATTTATGTTATAATTTTAGCAGCTACGAACGGAGATTACTTTTCAACAATTTTGTTAACAATATCGAGATGGTATTTGGTGACTCACGATTTTTATCGGCGAAATCGCAAAAATGACATTTGTATAATATAACAATTTAATATGCATCATTAACAAAGATCAAGGATGAATAAAACACGCTTTGCCGAAAACCGGACCCAATGGACGTTGTTTTGATTATGGCGCGGCCTAATTAACGAAAGTTCTCCGAAAATCAAAGTTTACAACCACTGTAAGGAAACCACCGTCGTGGGCAGAACTTACGGTAATACAGTATCCGAGTAACGGTCGCATCACCGAGGCCATGTTGACAAATCCGTCGCGCTAGCAGTGTGCCCGTGACACTTTTGGTTGTTGGACACATTTATCTTAGCAGGGACAGTCAACGTTGTTTTTGTCAACACCACTGTGTTAAAAAAAATTGGATTTTAATTTTAATAGTAGGTATTTAAACTATCGGAGAACAAATCAATGGAAATTGTATTTGTTTAAAAAAAAATTGTATGAGTTTTGTGTCGCTGTTATTTTTTTACGAAACTGTCCATTACAACAATTTTCAGTGATTTTATTTAACCAAAAAGCTCCTGTACAAAATTCCTATATTTCACAGTTCGTTTGCCTACCTGTTTCGGTAATTATTCGTGTATGAACAAATTCGAACGGTAAACAGATAATCATCTGATCATACAAAATGCGGAATCAAAGAGGAACGGCGTCATAAGACCACGGCCGGTTTAATTAATTTATCTAAAGGTCGCGCCCCGAACTTGTGCATTCTTCGATGTATTAGTGTGGTTCTCACACAGCCGTGTCGTAAATAAACCATGGGCGCCTTTTACTATTGCCGCCGCATGTCGCAAGCCCAGTGCGGGGTCAGAGAGGGACGTGAGCGGATGAAGTTCTAAATGCTAGCCGGCGCCCGCTCACCTGACCCGAGCATCGAACTCGGCGCGTTTCGTAATTGTTTACTCGCGCGGTGCGCCACGGACGCGGCCGGCAGGTGCAGTAGTGACTTTTTTTTCTTTCGTTATGACGCCGGCCAGTTCTGTTTCGTTCCTTTCTCACTGGCCGTATGTGTTTATATAAGTTTTTTTTTAATAACGATAGTTTTTAACGACAACTAGTTAATGTTCTATCTTTAGCGTTTTATTGCGATTTTTTATTCGATATACTTATTAACAGGATCCATTGTCAAGTTTTTTTTGAATTTTGAATTTATCTAAAATTATCTTCGGGATTAATGGCAGTACATTTTAAATGTAGGTAGGTGCGTTAGAATTAAAAGATAATTTTGTATTTATCGAATTGATAACGAACAGGCTTATCTCTTGGTGAGATAATTCTGATACATTCTAGTGGTTATTTAATCAATGCATATTGATCAATGCATATTTACATTAAAATATCCTCTGCAAAATGTACTTCCTTTATCGACCAAGAAATTTCAAGGATTGTAGTTTTTCCTTTTATAAACATCAAACATGAAATGATCTATTATTGTAATTTAATTATTAAAAGCAATTTAACTAATAATATCTGTATGAGACCATTAATTATGAATATGGTTTGGACAATTTGCGCAGCTTAATAATTTACATCCAATAACATTTAATGAAAATAAACAGAAACGAACCGAAAAGTAATTCGTACGTGTTCGAAACACCATAGCCAGGTTGATCTATAACGAGAAAATTATGCATCGGCGACCTTTGAAAGGCGTTTATGATATAGCAAATAAATGCTAGAATCGCTTACGCGAGACAGGTGATATGCGGCGGACTTGCAAATTGCACATCGTGACCGCCCCAAGCGACTTTCGACCTTAGCTGACCTTATGCCCGTCCCAACGAGGACCTAAGGTGCTGCCGGCAGGTTTAGGGTTAACTGCAAATGATATAAGTACGTGTAAGAATAACGTAAGACCGATTTGATTTTAGCTGTTTGAGAGCCACAGGACCATTGCTGTTGCGTCTATTACTAATACTTTTTAACAGTTGTATGACGACGTAGAAGTCTATTCTTTTAAGTGAATGGACTTGGCGTTGAAGTACCACAACCTCACATTAGACCAACGTGAAGAAAAACCACAAAATAGCACGTGTTGGAGTTCCCAAATTTCTGTTAAACTTACTAGAGTTATTTTAATCATTGTTTTCGTTAAGATATTTAGCAGTATGTCAGGGTTATGAGTTTCACCCGTATGATATTATTTTCTGTCTGTTATTTTTATCTGTTGATTTCAATGATTGCCGAAGAATCCTATTTCGTCTAGAAATTTAAGGGCTTAAATAGAGACCGTTCAAAAGTTAGTTGGATCTTCATAAAAATGACATGCATATTTACATATTTAGAACAAGTTTTAGTATATCATAAAGAACTAGACGTTAGTTCAGTTATCATTTCAGTTAAGACACCGTTGAGTTAGTTCTCATGTTAAACCGATATCTGGAAAACACACAGACGTATTTATTTGATACATCTGTGTTGTCAACAAAGCCCTCTGCAAGAGAACACTCGTGTATCACTTAAAATTGTTCGCATTACCTTGCCATTAGCAACGTTATGTGGACAATTTTAAGTGTTCATTCGATTTTTTTTTTAATAAAATCCTTAAATGTTAGTTTTATTTTTATTTGTAACTGGTCGCTGCTCAATCGCTATCCCACTGGTGCTTAGTTCTTTTTTGTTAAGTGTCGATCCACCCGATCCACCCTCTTGCTCCGAAGACGCGTTGCATTCGGACGGAGATAGACGACTGCATTGCGTTCCAGTCCCTCGACGTCGCATGGTGAACGAAACGGTCACAGTTCAATCCCAAATACGTCATCGCTCGAAGGGACTATCAACGTGGCCATCGGCGTACGGGCCCGTTATAAGCGTGCATAAGCCATATTATAATGCGATACGCATAACGGTAGGCGGGCATCGCGATAGCACCGCAGATATCCGTGTCGCGTGCGGGAACCGTGTCACGACCACCGCTAGTCGCGCTGCGCATTGACGTGACGTGACGTGACGCTACATGCGGATCCCGCGCTCCCACCCCACATCGGTGCGCCGCAAGCAAGTAGAAAAGCTCTAAAGCTCGATTTTGCACGACGTGATTAGGACACAGGTTTGTAGATAGCGTGTTAGGGTGTGATCCGCAAGCAACTGCTTCTGCCTTTGCTTGCGGATCACGGATGAGCAGGCGCGTCAATAGAAGTACCACGGCCTAACAGGAGACCGGCGGGAAGTGGAAGTAATTAACTTCCGCGCTTTATATTGTCAGTGAGGTAGCCAGGGCCCACTTTTTTGCCCAAACGTTGTCAACGCAACTGCGAGATGGCTGTATGCTTTTGTAGATGTCCCTGGGGCGGGGGGGGGGGGGGGGGGGGGGGGGGGGGATTCATCAGGTTAACCGTCTGCTAAAGTATATGCATGAGTATTGGTGACCTCAAACACGTAACCAAACGAACATTACGTACGTAACAGATAGAAAGATACGATACATAAAAATATGTGAAAAATATATAAGAGTAACAAACATCCACCCATACATACAAACTTTCGCCTTTATAATATATATAATATTAATATTAGTAAGGAAGTAAGGATAAGCATTGCTTATCTATAATATAGCACTAATGTGTTAAATCACACCGACGACAACGTAAGAGTCAACTCAAGGGCAAACGAAAAAGTACCGTAGTGAACATCTTCAGACGGTGATGATGATGGTGTTAAAATAAAAACATCATACAAAGAGTTTTTTAGATTGTTTTTAATGACGAACTATTTTATCTTACCAATCACTACCCGAAATAAGTATGTATATTTCTCCATAAAAAGCAGTAATTGTGTAAGTTGCACAAACAGTTAAGAAAGAGGTGTATGTTTGCGTCTTATTACACAAAATCGACTACATCGAATATTTTCTATGTCACTGTACAAATACAGTTCTATCACCGCCTATACCTAAACGCCTATGAATGTGGCGGCCGTTGAAGCGAGAAATGATGATTTGCATACTATTCAATGGCGGCCGTCCCCTGCATAACGAGTGCCAACAAACAAACGGAGAACACATACGTATTGATACTTCGCACGCACCTTAGAAATTATACGAATATCTCTAGAAATCACGAGGTACGTTCGTGTAAAAAGATAAATCAACTAATGGCGTCATACGTTATAAAATACTCAGAAATATAATTTCGCTATAGTCTCTGTTTTCACTTGTAAAGGTTTTTGAAACGTTTCGCCGATTAAGAGAACGAACGAACAATCGATTCCTTCAGCGCGAACAATTAAAAAAGCATCATGACCTCAATGACGTCGGCCAACCGGGATCGAAAGAGAAATTTAAATGTTGAACAAAGGCTTTGTAACGCTGACACACACACACGCACTCACACTTTATAAACAATATCCGAAGCACATTACCAGCGTGCCGGGGTAAAGAAAGCGAAAAAAAAAATCTTTTAAGAAAATGGCAACAATTTATAGTTTCACAGATTGCCAGTATTATATGCTTGTAACAAAAGTGAATAGGTGTTTTATTATCTGCGACAGAATGAAAGTCCACTAATTAATCGTCCTACGTAATAAAGCTAGTGGGAATAGACAACGCGAAGGTCCCTGCTCCCTCGAACTCGGCGGCAGACGCGCGCTGACTCACGCGGCCGCACGCTTCCGCCTGATAGCAAGGTCACCGGCCGCGACGCTCACAAAGCCGGGCCACACTCACACATGCGAATGTGAAAGTAGTGAGAGTACAGTCGGGCACAGCGCGCACTGGGCACGCTTTTTTTATTGCAACGCATAATTTTAAATTTAGTGCGTCGCGTATTGTATAACGTATCGCACGATCAGAAACCAATGTTGATGCAATGATAAAGTTTAAATGAAAAATTAATCAACAAGTATGTATTTGAAATAAATACGTACTTGTCATTTTATTGGATATGCGAATTAGTAGAGACAGTGACAAAACCTCCCAAACGAGCCAGTCACAACTAATATATAATTCGAGGTCGCTTGAGCTGCGATTGGGTTGAAGCAAAATTAAATTTATTCCCAGCTTCAAAGCAATAAATACTGAATAATACAACGTTATTTAAATCGATATTTTAGTAATCCTACTAAATTAAACTATATTTTAGGATTTATCGCGGTCATTTTTAATGTTATTTTAATTGCAGACGTTTTGAACCCATTTTTAGGGTTCATGGTAATGAATGAAATTTTTAACTGTATAGGTATTTTGTATTTTTTGTCGTCCACTGTAAAATTAAAACTTAATTACAAACCAGCCTTTATTCAATTACACCCGGCTAAGAACAAACCGACTAAAATCTCATTTCGTAATTTAACGTTCACGGTGCAGTGTACGTAAAAACATAGATTAAGCAACGATAAGCAAACTTATCCAAATTCTTGGAACCGAATCATTAATTAAATGGCGACGATGCAATTACTACAATGAAACCTGTTCCCCAAATACGATAAAATTTAAAGTTTCAAACCATTTTGTCATAAGAACAGGGAATCATCTAAACATTTACAATTTATTTAATATTAAATTATAATAATATTATGAATAAACAAGATTACCACATCCCTTAAATAGAACGTTTTAAATAGCGCCGAACGGCACAACATTTACGACTATCAATAATTTGTTGTTCATGCTTTGTGAAATTTCAAATAAAAGAAAAAATAAAAATAAATAAACTAAATAATTTAGGACACATTTTTACACAACGTTCTCTAGTCCCAAACTAAGCAACGCTTGTACTATGGGTAATAGATAACGGATAAACATACTTAAACATACTTTTCTTTTGTAAATATATGCATATAAAAAGCTTACAAAGTTCAATCCAGGTCGACATTGCAATCGCCACCTACTAAGTACTGACTGATGAACTAGCTATTAGCGTGTCTGTTCTAGCTGCAGCTGATGTGTACACGACTCGATTTGCTTGTAATAGCCGTTATTACGACTATAGCAAAGCAAATCGAACATCAGATTTAAAATTGTGAATGGAAACATGATTTTTAACCAAGTTGTTATAGACATTAATTAAAGTTTCGTAACATAACCGAAAATAGATTGTACGAGGAATACAAAACATCCTTGTAACATAATAAAAAGAAGCAATTAGCAAACGTAAATAAATTATAAGCTAGACCGTAGCAAACTTGGGAGAATTTAGGTATGTATAAATTTGATCCGTTAGAAATAATAATCGATAAAATTTGACCTTGATGTACAAGTTTTTGCCGCAAGCAAATTTAGTAGGGTTACAAGAGGCCCATTATAGTAGTAAATTTTACCAGAAATTTTATTCGTTCGTTCGAGTTGAAATAAAATAACTATACTTATAACAATTATATGCTAGAAACGCGCATTAGGTGAAAATTAACTTAAGAAGATAGGTTCACCAAAAACGAAAAGATATCTTTAACTTATATCATGTATTCTTATACATAAAACCTCAATTTAGAGTCTAAACTCTTCTAATTACATACATAAATAAAAATATATTTTTCTACAAGTTATACCCTTCTCAATTTTTAAATGATAAAAAAATTATAAATGGGAAATCAAGATATACAACTGTGGCAGATTAAATCAGTCGTTATGATAATCTACCGTTACTGCTATGAAATAGCTGTTCAAAAGATAGCCAAGAAAGAAAAGTAATCTGCATTCTACAACTAATCATAATACTTAACGTTTATTTCATTTTCGTACCTTAAATATATTATTTTTATATTTTGTTATTTAAAGAAGAGAAATTAATAAAAAATCACTTGAGAGCTCGATTGTCAGCCCAAACAAACGTAGGGCTCAGAGTAAGACACGAGAGGCGGACGCGAGGGGGTGAGCACCCTTCGTCACGTGACCAGCGACCTTCAGGCGAGGCACCGACCTTGAGCGCCGCTCGCCCCGCGCGCGGGTCAGAGGTGAATGCACGCCGTCCGCGCTGTTAGCATCCCCGCGCCCCGCCCCGCCGCTCTGTCGCGACCTAGAACGCCTCCTAATGCCACTCACCCTTCAGTCCACAACACCATGGCCCCTACTTAGGCGCCATCGACCTTCGCCATCGTCCCGTCTTCAAAAATCCTCCCGTCGCCAACAGGTATAGGGGCGACGCGGCACACCTTTCCCATAAAATATCACCGACAAGTTTATTGACATCGAGTCTCCCGAACAATTGTGCGAAAGTAGTAATTTTCTGCTATACCAAACACATACACTTTAAAAATTCGAATAAGGAAACACTTATAATGCCGTTTAAACTGACTGTTCACACAAAAAATACGTTTTATCTAGAAAAACATTGATCACAACGTGTGAATAAGAAAACAAATACACTATGTCCTTTCACCTCCGCAAAACAAAGCGGAATAAAATAAACTCACTCTGTAAAGTGAACTGACATCTCGCGAGTCACAACTGCTAAACAAAGGGACTACGATTGACATCTAGCGGACATAAAAAGCATTAATAAATGCCTTGTCTTTTATTTTTTTACATTTTGAAAAGTTACTTACTTCGACTAAATTATTTTTGCAAGTTCTAATATTAACTAAAACTTTTATATTTTCTTAAATTTATTTTTTAATAATTAAAGCATGTGATGCAAACTAATCTCTAGTATAATCTGCATCGAGTTTCGATGTCAAATTGTAACGTCAAAAAGATGACTGCTGAGCTGAAACAGCTGTGATAAGAACTCAGAACTGTTTGTTTAGCATATAGTGTGCATTAAAGTGTCGTATTACATATAATTGTTCCTAAATATGTCGGATGTTTGATTTGTGTGTAAACGAATAAGGTGCAAAATAATTGTCAATAAAATTGTTCTTTAGCTGTCAAAAGACATTAATTAAATTAATTTGTTTTCAAGGTCGTACCAATAATCACAGGTATTAACGAACTATTATGGTAAATTCCAAACATAATGGTGGAGGATAATGAACGTTGTTATGGGAGGAATTCCAATAAAAATGTTCTTTTGAAAATTGTGATTTTGGGCGATGGTGGCGTTGGAAAGTCTTGTCTGATGAGCAGATTTATATCAAATCATTTTGATGATCATAATTTTCATACAATTGGTGTAGAATTTATGAACAAAACGACAGAAGTAAACGGCACGCAATACACATTACAGGTAAGGCAGGATCTGTAATCTATTTGTTTAATTAACATTGTTAGCATTTTTTTACTTTATTTCTTTATTTTGTCAGTTTTTCAGAAAATAAATTTACAACAATAATTTCTTATTAATTTTGTTATGCAGTGAAAAAAAGAAACAATAAGAAAAATATCCTAGTAAGAAAATTGACATAAAACAATATCAGTCTCATTAGGCTAAAATTCAATGTGTTAGAACTTTTAACTTTCCACTGTTTTTACGAGTTTATTACCTTAAAATTATTGTCATCTTCATAATATTATTTAAATATTGAAGGCCAGTCCCAAAGAGAATGTAAAGCTTGATGATGCTTATCAAGGTTGTTATATCTAAATTAATTAACTTACAAGATTTCTATTGGATAACTTGTCTATGGATGTTTACTTTTCCAATAAAGAGATAATCATAAAGCCAAGACACAGTCAAAAAGTTTAGTATTATCACAAGATTATGTAAACTCTTTTGTTTTATTGGATAATTTTATTGAACTTTAACCATAAATATATTCCTCATTAAGACAATTATAACGTGAATGAAAGAAGTGATACAATTATATGATGTATATAATTATATGATGTAGTGTATTAAAGGTATATCCATAATTTGGCAAATATGTCTCTGTTATCATAATCAATCAGTGCTAATGAGACAATTTTCTTGCATCTATGAAATTCAATCATCTTAGATTGTAATATCATAGCACAATTACTTACAAAACTATTGTAACAAGTACTTGCCAGCCAGCTCCATAGCTTGCTGAGCAACTGAGCTTCGTCATATAGTCAGCAGTGAAGGACCAAGTCTCAATTCCATAGGTAACAATAGAACAAAGGTAAACAACATAGCTCAGAGGCTAAGTAAGGTACAGTTGTAATAGATAGGCCATGTAGCTCAAAGATCCTATACCAATAGGGAAGAACATGTAACAGTTTTCAATGGGCATTGTAGTAGATGACGACCCCTCACTTTATGGAGTGTGTGTGGGCAATCCTATGCAGGCCTATGTTCAGCAATCAACGTTTTTCTTGATTTTCTTAAGCATTGTTGCCAAGTGAATATGCTACAGCTATACTGTCTATTTAAAATAAATTCCATTACTAGTAAAATGCAGCCATTTTTTTTTGTTTGTACACAGTAAAACTTTTTTCAAAATTATTGCCATTTACCTTGGGGTAAATGAAAATAATTTTCCCTTTTTATCAATTGGTTTACAATAGCAATCATTATGATGTTTTACATTCCACTGACATGTTTAAAATTTATTTGACTATTTTACAGTTAATGTCCCGTAGATTTTGATGCAAGTTAAATTAACCTTTAACATGGAACTATTTCGTATGCAGTTTTTTTTTGAGTAGACTTACCTATAATTTTCATTAAAAAGAGTAACTTATTACTTAATGATTATCTTACGAACAAATACTTCATTTTAATTTATTTTCAAATATTAATTTTATTGATCATTATTTTTCTAGAAAAAAACTCATATTCATAAAAATCCTCTATAATTTATCACGTGACTATATCACTAGTATATATATGACGCATGCAATAAAAATTACATCTCTTCCTAATTAAGTACTCCGAACAGTCCGACGTAGTTAATGGCGGTGATATCATACAGTTCAAATCAACTACTTGAAGCTTAAATTAAGATGGTTAAGATTTTTACTGTCACCTTTTCTTGATGCATGATTTAATTCTGTGTAAGTACTTGTAACAATTATCTAATAATTTCTAAAGTTTTCGTTATCCTTACTTTCGGTCTGTAGACTGTAAAAGACTCATTGAACACAGAACCCGCAGAGATTGATACGGTTCTATGCGTTGAGTAATTCCATCTGCGTGGCCATTCTTGCGTTATCCAATGTCACTTATGGGCCATTGAGGTTCGCTTGAGGTGAAGTCGGGTGTACGTGTTGGTTTTGCCGTGCTCGTAGGCAAGGACAAACTAACTGTTTGTTTGTTAGCAGTATGGGTATAGTATTGTAGAACAAGTCTCAAATGAAGTTAGGCTTGGTTTTTTTGTTTTGTGAAATTTTATGTGAAAAATTGCCAAGCGAGCAGACAGTTCACCTGATGTTAAGTGAATACCACCACCCATGGAAATCTGCTACACCCGAGGGTTGCAGATGCGTTGACAACCTTTTGAAAATTGGGCTCCGGCCAACTCACTCACCAGACGAAACGCGAAAGTATTATATTTCCACTTTACGCCAGTCTTCTGTGTGGTCGTGGTACTTAACCGGACGAGCATGCCCATTCGTGCAACAGCCGAGGCTGCTGCGTGGCCCTACCACCGGAAAAATTGTGTCATTCATTAATCACGTAATGTAATACAATGATTAGCCTTGACTGATTTTATTTTATTTATGACACCAAACATGTGGAACTTACATAAAAGAAGATAAATATGTCAAACCTAGATCAAATAAAGAGCTCTTAAGATGCTAGAAGACTGTATGAGAATCATTTATACATTGATCATGAATGACAATAACACAACACTTCTGAAGTGCTAGGATACCTGCCTGATTTTCAATAAATCATCAAGCAAGAGTTCAGTTAAACTCATCACTAGTACTCCTTGAAGTCCATATAGCTTGGGGTTAGAGAATTTGATTATGGAGTTTCTGATCCTAGGTTCTAATCTTAAGCTTTAAAATGAAGAGTATTAAAGCATTAGAAACTATGCGTTTTATATTTATACATGCCTAAATTTTAATTTGATGTTAATCCATGGTTCCAGATATGGGATACAGCCGGCCAAGAGCGATTCAAATCTCTCCGTACGCCATTCTACAGGGGAACGGACATTTGTATTTTGGCTTACGCGATTGACGACCGAAGCTCCTTCAACAACATAAAAATGTGGCTCAATGAGTTCCTGCACTATGCAGGCGTTAAGAATGGTATAGAGAAATTCCCCTTCATTGTTGTTGGTAACAAGGTTTGTGCTTGCCTAAATACCGAATAAAACTATCATTTATCATGGAGTAAATTGTCTTTAAATACTTTAAAGTAACTTAAATACGTCAAATTTAAAAGTGTATTCTTTTATACAGTGTGTCGTTACAACCGCGACAATAAATGAACACACATATAGAGGATAACTTTTTAAAATTGTGTTAAACATATACATTCTTTAAACATCAATATTTACCGAGTTATTAAATTTTCAAAAACAAACAATTTTAGAATACCCTTACATACAAAACTGTAACGTAAAGTTAGTTTGTAAAGGTCACAAAGCATATGAAGGGGTTGGATGAATTTAAAAGAGATAAAACATACTGTCAGAAGGAGAGATTTGTAATGCGACGCTGTGGCAATGAATGAAAAAGTCTCTGAATGTATGAATCAGTCAAATGTAGTTATATAGGATGTTACAAATTTTATATCTTTTTTATTTAATTAGTTTGTTTGAAAAATATATTTTTTTTAATTATGGATTTTTTTAATGTTTATATTTTTTTATGATTATTGGCAAGTAGTGTTAGACGTGTGTTCATTAATTGTCGCGGTTGTAACGACACACTGTATAGTGAACTAGTTTTGTCATGATTCATATGTAAGCCATTAAATAGTTGAAGCAAACCAGTTCAGTCAGCATTTCACTCTTGTTTTGAAGGCACTCATAATTATTTTCTAGACTATATAAAATGAGGTGACTTATTGACTGAAAATTTTAAAATTATTTTTTTAACTTTCAGTCAGACGTTTCGTCGAAAGACAGAGAAGTGTCACATGAACAGCTGAGACAGTGGTGCGAGGACAATAAGATCACAACGTATATTGAAACTTCAGCAAAGACGGACAGCAATGTAGTGGAAGCCTTCTCAATGGCTGTACAAAGGTGAATATATTTCTATGTCAAGATATTTTACTGCTGTCAACAAAAGGTCTTTTTATGGATGATAGAAGTAAGCAGAAATATCTAATTGGTGGTGCTACGGTAGGAGGTAGTAGCAGGTGGGTACTAGTCAGTGGTAGCCAATTAATTAATTACTATGGTTATTAGTTATTAAAATTCAACTGAGGAAAGTAAATAATAATCATTCACTTTTACAAAGCTAGCTCATTCTTCCAGGTTTTTGAATTGTTACTTGCTAATAACCACTGGACATATTTACAAATTTTTATCCTAACAATAACTATTTCTGTCAAAGTAGTCTATAGGGAATTTAAATGGATTGCCAGCTCAGAAATATACAATCGCTTAAAAAATAGAAGGAATTTGATTGCACTCTGAAATCGTGAAAAGATTGTTCAATTTCGTTAGGACAATTTCCACATTGGAAGAAGTACCATAGGATTCGAAACCACTGATGTACAGTATGCGCGGTGATTCATAGTCTTGAAACTAATTTGTAATTTGTGCGGTACTCCCAAATGATCAAACATTGCATCAACCACATAACATTGTCAAAACGATGTGTCAACAAAGTAGTTGTCGATGTCCAAGGCTAGTTTACTTGTAATTGCGTACAATCAATTGTGCAACAAATTTTTATATTCATGCATTACGTGCTTTGACAAGTAATATATTAATTTCATCATATACAATGTTATAGGCAATGGTAAATATTTCAATCACCCACCATGTTTATTGCTTTTGTCTTGTGAATATAAGCCCAGTGGCTAGAACGTCGGACGCGTATCCCGCAGGACACAAGTTCAAATCCTCATAGTGACGAGAAATATTTCGTCAAAACTACTTTTTTTTTTAATTTGGGCTATATTTTTTATTTGTTCTCGTCAAATATTTCTGTTCTTTTGAACTTTCTATGCTTTTTTGAATTAATATAAAATCCAACACAGAATGTCTTCTGGTACCTGTACACCGGTACTGGTACGCATACAAATGTACAAGTATGTATAGAACAGAAGAAAATTGGTGAAATGCTAATATTGTTGAAATTAATTTAAGATTATGTTGTAGTGTTGTATTGACGTGTACAATATTTTCTACGTTCCTAATAGTACCCTTATAATGCTTTATTTTCTTTCTGTTTCTTTGCGGAGACGTAAAGAAAAATACTATATTATTTGCGTTTAATAGATGGGCAGATTTAGAACAGAAAGCGGAGAAGGAGCTAAGAATGCTACACCATCCTGATACAGTGACTTTACACGGCTCGAACACGGTTTCGAGCTTTCGAGCGACATGCTGCTCCCGATTTAGCAGCGTATGAGATATATTTCCGCGGCGGCGGTGTCGCAACGCACTTGCACGGTGTACAGACGTTTGCGTGCATTTGTGACCTCCACGTATCCTCCATAAAATATGGTATCACGACTTTGGTACTAAGATAAAAGAGATAAAATATTTTTAAAATGTCATCGACGATAAAAAGAAATTATGCGGGTCTAATGATTTTTTTTTCTTATTTGAAATATTTTTAACTGAGATAATAATTAATATAAGATCTGACACAAACATCGCTTCCGTCCTCAACGGCAACGACTTAATTTGAAAATGTCAATAAAAAATCACAATCAACAGAACTGTAAGTCTAGGATAAAACATATTGATACTTATAAATTTAGTTAAGAGCCTTGTATGTAGAAACTGTTAACAAAGTTTGTTATCTCGGTCGTTTTAAATGAAAAAGGGGATTTCTTATTTTTCATAATGCACCTTAGAAACTATACTAACATATTTTATTTTAGCGCACTTTTTCCATATTGACACAATCTGTAGCTTTTAAAAGTGACAAATTGATGATGAATCATCCTAAACAAATCTACTAACTATAGAATAGGTTATAAATAGATATAGATACAAGTTTATTAAAAATAACGTATTATGCCTGTATTTTTGTTTAATAAAACTGTATTTTAATGATATATCTTTAATAGTAAATTTAATTTCAGTGTGAAATTTTAGTGTTACCACTTCAAGTTTTTTGTAGTGACTAGAAAAATACTTATCTACCACAATAATCTCTTTGTTCGCTTAAAAAGCGCAATTTTATGGTGGAATTACTACATACTTGGTTTGGTTCGTAATCATTATTGGTTGTGACGTTTTTGTTTTAAAACAACAACAAACTTGAATTTCTTAATTGTTATTTCAACGTAGTTTATAGTTTTAAAGTTAGCTGTATAGTTACCACGGTGCACATTGTACCAGTTTAGTTTAAGTTGTGCAATGTGCACCATTTGTAAGACATTCCAAATGAATAATTGTACATGTTTTATTTATGCAAAATATTCATTGCGAGTTCCATTGATTGGTATCATGCTTTTTCTTTCTTATAAGTTAGCGTGGTTATTTGACGTAATTTTTTCTCTAAATATCTGTACAATATTGTACGTATTTCTTATTTAATAAAGAATTATAATCAGCTTTTTATGATTTGTTGACGATGTTAATTGTTAATTTCTTTATCATTCTTTTTGTTATAGACCAAATACTATTTGTCTGCTTTGTAAACATAACGACAAGGACATTTATTTGTTAATATAATACTTGTTTCAAAGACGAATATAATAAAAGTTATTGTGTGTGCCTAAATGTTATTTGTCTATATATTCTAAAAATTAGTTTTCTTATTTTTTTTTGTTTGCAATAATATTCTTTGTTTATATACAGCATGGTGTTACAACCGCAACGTTAAATGAACACACTTCTAACGCTACTTGCCAATAATCATAGAAAAATATTAATGTAAAACAAAATCCATACTTGAAAAAAAAATTTTTCAAACAAACTAATTATAAAAAAAAGAAACAAAATTTGTAACTACAACTGATTGATTCATACATTCAGAGACTTTTTCACAGTGTCGCATTTCAAGACTTTCCTTCTAACACTATGTTTTGTCTCTCTTACATTCATACAACCAATGCATAATGCTTTGTGAGCATTACAAATGAACTTTACGTTACAGTTTTATACGTACGGCTGTTCTAAAATTATTTGTTTTGGGAAATTTAATAACTCTGCAAATATTGATGTTTAAAAAAGGTAAACTTTTAATACGATTTTAAAACGTTATCCTCTATATTTGTGTTCATTTATGGTCGCGGTAGCAGCCCCACGTTGTTTAAATCGTTTACCAAAGATGTAATTAACACAGAATTAAATAAAAAATATCTATAAAAATCTGTCCATTTACGTTGCACATATCATTATAATCCTAGTTCAGGGTTGAATTCAAATATTGAATGAACGTTACCGTAATTATATTGTCTAATTTAACAAATGGCTAATTAAAATATTTTCATGTTATCACAACAATTTAGTTACTGATTTGCATCATTTCATACATGGTTTTAAATATTTATTAGACTACATTTAACTATGTATCTACGTTGTTGCGTTTTATTTTACAAAGCAAATATGAATTTCATATAATTTTTTTATTTCTATTTGTAACCGTGTCAAGAGTACGAATATTTTATTTAAACCCACATTTTATTTTGTATAGTAGTGTGAATAGATCATAGTGTGTGGTTTAATCATTTGTTTGAATATTTAAGGAAATTCTTTGCATGTTGTAGAGTTTAATTGCACTTCGTTATTTGTGTATTTTAATGCATACGCTGTGATCGGCGCTTTGGGGACCAGAGTTAACGGTATAATCTCCGTGGTACCTCATTACGTGATATTGTGTTTTTATATCATAATACACTGTACATAAGACGTATTTTGTTTTAGAAAAGCTTTATATTTTTCAATTGAAATAAAGGTTTTTCCGAATGATACCCTTTTATCATTTCCGCGACCGCAGCAACAATGTTAGGTCAGAATTTGTACTGCACCAAATGCGTATTTTGTAAATTTCATTTGATACTCACCTATACTATCATATTTAAAGGGCCTCAGTTTGGATATCTCTGAAAAAGAACAACAAACTAATTTACTACATTTAACTATGTATCTACGTTGTTGCGTTTTATTTTACAAAGCAAATATGAATTTCATATAATTTTTTTATTTCTATTTGTAACCGTGTCAAGAGTACGAATATTTTATTTAAACCCACATTTTATTTTGTATAGTAGTGTGAATAGATCATAGTGTGTGGTATAATCATTTGTTTGAATATTTAAGGAAATTCTTTGCATGTTGTAGAGTTTAATTGCACTTCGTTATTTGTGTATTTTAATGCATACGCTGTGATCGGCGCTTTGGGGACCAGAGTTAACGGTATAATCTCCGTGGTACCTCATTACGTGATATTGTGTTTTTATATCATAATACACTGTACATAAGACGTATTTTGTTTTAGAAAAGCTTTATATTTTTCAATTGAAATAAAGGTTTTTCCGAATGATACCCTTTTGTCATTTCCGCGACCGCAGCAACAATGTTAGGTCAGAATTTGTACTGCACTAAATGCGTATTTTGTAAATTTCATTTGATACTCACCTATACTATCATATTTAAAGGGCCTCAGTTTGGATATCTCTGAAAAAGAACAACAAACTAATTTACGAAATCAACATTTTTATTATGATAAAATAAATAAGTAAGGACCGACATGACTGCTGTCTTGTTTTTGTAGACGTTTTAATTGCATAACGGAACCTACATTGGATCTATTTCTAACGACCATACCGTAAAACGTGTTGCGTTACAGTTGCCGTTTCATATGTATTTTATTATAATATTGCACAGGTTTTATGTTTAAGACGGAGAGGCTTTCTGATAATACTAACACTAAAACGCAATCTACCATTGACATTGTTTCGTATCTTACCGGCAGGGAACAAAAAAATCATAAATAGTTATTGTCATGGGGGACAATATTACAAGCATTTTTTAGAAATTAAAATTTTCTATCGTGCTTACCTCTGTACTCTGTGCTAATCTTAGATTAAACCTTTGGGACTCGCGCCCTGACGCTCTAGCCACTAAGATAAACGGCTGATTGCCACACCGACGAAATCCTCAACGCCTTTTATCCACATTGTTCTTTAGCAATACAGGTTCACCTGATGTTAAGTTATAGCCGCCGCTCATGGACTTTCGGAATATCCGTAGATGTCCCGGCTACTTCACTCACCAGACGAAATGCAGAAGTGTAAGATTTCCACTTTACACTGGTCTTCTGAGGTCGTGGTGATACTTCCTCGGTAGACCTGCTCATTTGTGCAACAGCAAAATATTGCTTGGCCCTACAAGGTATTTTATTGCCACTCTTTTAGAAGTATTTAAAAGCTTGGCGTTTAGCAACTTCTACTGCTCTCCTACGGGTGTTGTTATCTGATTCTTTTTGCCATCTTTCATTTACCATATTTTCTCCCATATGATAGAAATATACCCCATATCGTCGAAGGTTCACTACGAATAATTAAACGAGAGTATTTCCCCAAATAGTTTATTTTATTTAATTTTTCTAAATCAAATCAAATCTTTCGAAATAAGACAGAAATGAAGTTTACAAAAAGTTATTCGAGAAAGTAGAAAATAATTGTGCTTAAGGAATTATGGCACTGTGTTCTTTGACAAATCACCATACGGCCCATACACAAATGAGTTAAACCAACATATTGTGGCTATCGTATAAGCTTATTATAGTAGTAAGTAGTATTATAGAAGTCATAAGAAAGTGCTTAAAAATTTACCATGTTGATAGAAATCATTAACTAACATTATGGTATAAAAAAACAATTTACGATAATTATACAATGCCTTATGCCATGTGAACAAAAAAGGTAATGTTAATTTCGAACAGTATTGGTTTGGTTTTTTAAACATACAACTCTAGTATTATTTCAGTTTCACCAAAATATACAAAGGGAAGGGCAAAAATAGATAAAAGCCACAAGCACATACTACTTACTAATTACTTTAAACCATATAAAAAACATACAACTAAACTACAAAAGGTCAGCCTTCATCGGCTGCCACATCTATCTACATAGGTTTCCTGTTCTTCACGAGTTCTTCGCTGATTTGCCACAGTTTCACCTCCTCGTCTTTGTTGAAGGGGTATTTGGATTCGTATGGAGCGCAGTCTCTGTAGAACTTTCCGCTCGTGCCCTCAATGCTGTATTCAGTAGCACAGTACACCACCGTCTCAGAGCCCTGCAATTATTGTCAATATACAGACATTAATTACAATGGAATATGTTTTCCATTGCGATAATTTTATTTTTATTAGAAACTAGCTAACGCCCAGCGTTCTTTGCCACGTCTATGTGATTTTATTCTTAATTTTCGACACGGTATAACATTTGACATTCGAAATCGGAATAGAGGACAAAAAAAACAAATAAAATACTCTTTTTGGTCGGGATCTTAGGGCTGTCTGTAACTGTGTCTACATCAAAGTTTTCCCACAACCACACGAATGTTGCGGAGCGCAAAGAGGACAAATATAAAAAGATTTACATTTCGCTTTTTGATGATTGATATTATCACTTTCAGTCCATTCACTCAATATTATATACAAATACGTCGTAGATATGACTAGCGCACCGAAATTGAGGCACTCGAATTACACCAATTGGTGTAATTAGATTTTTATTCTATCTCTGCTATCTCTTTCCTTATCATACATTCTATATCATCTGTCACATTCACTTAATATGTCATATATCGTAAAGCGGAACAATTTTTAAACGCCGCGCAGCATAGACATGCGTCATCTATATTATTAAAAATCACTGCCACATCCTTAAATTCCTATTAATATTATAAACGCGAAAGTTTGTATGTATGGATGGATGTTTGTTAATCTTTCACGCAAATACTACTGAATGGATTTTAGCGAAACTTTACAATAATATAGCTTATACATCAGAATAACACATGGGCTATAATTTATACAGCGTGTCGTTACCATCGCGACAAGAAATGAACACACATATAGAGGATAACTTTTTAAAATTATATTAAGCATTTACATTCTTTAAACATCAATATTTACCGAGATATTAAATTTTCCAAAACAAACAATTTTAGAACACACGTATAAAACTGTAACTTAAAGTTCATTTGTAAAGGTTACAAAGCATATGAATGGGTTGAATGAGTTTCAAAGAGACAAAACATACTGTTAGGAGAGGCTTTGGAGTTGTATAGGATGTTACAAACTTTGTTTCTTTTTTACTTAATTAGTTTGTTTGAAATTTTTTTTTTTAATTATGGATTTTTTTTAACATTAATATTTTTTTATGATTATTGGCAAGTAGCGTTAGACGTGTGTTCATTTATTGTCGCGATGCTAACGACACGCTGTATACATATTTTATGTATATCTGTCTTTCTGTCTGAATGTTACGCCTTCAGCCTATTCTACGCAGACGTAGTCGCGGGCAGCAGTTAGTACTATATAAAGTTACGTTTGGAACAGCAACGTTGCCACGAGCTTTGTAGACCCTTCCTAAGCAGAGTTAAGCATGAGGATTGTGTAGAGACTGTCTACTGTGCTATGTCGCTGGAAGCGGTGAGAACCGCCAAGGGATGCAGGTGTAGTTTGGCCACGCGTAGTGCCGTCTTTACCATAAGGGCACACGGGGCCCGTGCCCATCGCCCCTGTCGTCACAGGCGTCCCGCATGGCCTAAATATTCGCCTAAACTATAATTTTTCTCTATTTTTGATAGATATATTCCGAAAGTTTATAGGATAAATAAAAAACCTAAGGTAATAGTTCTCTTCATTATTTTTTTTTTACTTTCCATCAGACCCCCAAATTTATGTGCCCTATGGCCCCGATATGGCCTAAACGGCATTGCACGCGGTATGTTCGTTTTGTCGTGCTCATAGGCGAGGACCAACTACTGCGTGTTGTACGTTAACCCTACGTTTGTATCTTATTTACATCTTGGTCTTGTTTTAGCCTCCGATCGTAAGACCGTCCACAAAAATTGACTAAACCTTGTTTTGTAAAACCTTGTTTTTATAATTCAAAATTCGAACGTGCTAGCATATATATATATATGTATATAATGCGCGTAATATATATATATATATATGTATATATCTATACAATGCGCGACTTTGGACTGCACACCTGTCACTGCACATATGAATATACATAGAGTAGCGATTGTTCGTTGACATTTTTGTCCGACGGCGAATAATCGTTCGTAATGTTTCTAATTTATTCGGCGCTGTCCAATTGTTATTCATGGTACAACTTTCCTCGTAAGCGAACATGAGTCCGCATGCATAAGTAACGGATGGCCTCGGAGTGTGAACGATATTTTCGATATTATTGATACTGTTATGAACACACAAAGGAACACGTAACAATACAATAATTCATGACATGAAACAATCAAAAATGTTTGCAAAATTTTTATAGTTTTGTGATGTTGGCGAGATGAAGCGTTGACGAGACTTTTGCATATTTAGCTCTGTTCCAAAACACTTTAAACAAGACAATTTTTTGATAAGCCTTAACAATATATATATTGATATAAATTTCAAGGTGTAATTGAAAATATCTTTAGTAATATTTCTCAGGAGGTAAAAATTAATTTTTTTTTCGTTTAACAAACATATCGTTTTCAATATAAATAATTGGGCAAGGTAAATAAAACACAATCTAAAACACTTACCTGTTTCGCAGACCTCATAAACATAAGTGCCAATGGAGCCATAAGGATGTAGTGGTACCACCTCACAGAATGCCTACAACAGATGTTGTTTTAGATATTATTTATTTTTGAAACTAAAAGAGCACTATCATTTATCATAAATACTTCTTTTTCCTGCCGTTACCCCACCTAGGTGGGGTCAACACAACATTTATGAATCATGTTGTTAATAATATTGGCTTGGTTTTTTTCAACTGGCTGGCTAGGTTTTCTTACGAAATGCCGCCTGCCTAACCCTCCTTAGGAACAAACACCCAGATTCATAACAAGTATCTGTGGTTCACACAAATTGTTTTCTCATTTAAAAATTGATCCCCGGCGCCAAAGCCTACAAGTCTGCCACCGAGTCACAAATACAACAATGTCTTAATTTTAATCTGTACACAGTGTACTTGGGCATAGTGTACAATAATGCAGACTACATAATTTATTACTTGTACACATGTCGATAAATATTTGATGGCGAAACATGTTCGCAAAGATTCACTTTTCATTAGGTCATGTCCCAAATATAGGTATATAATATACTTTTATTACATACATGATATATTACAATTAGGTTATTTTTATATCATAAACAAATTGCATACCTGAAGAGATTGGTGTAGCAGAAACCAGGGCAACATACATTAACATCCACTCCAGTGTCTCTTAGCTTTTCTGCTAAGGCCCTGGCAAAGTATACATTCATTAACTTTGAATTGCAATAGCCTGGGTTTCTGCGCTCACTGACTCGACCTTTTTTGGCATTCTCAATTTCAGCTTTTAAGTTAAGATCATCAAAATTCAGTTTTCCTCTTTCATGTAGAGTTGAAGATACAACAACAATTCTGTAAAACAAATGCCTTCTTTAACATTTTTAAGGGAGTAGACAATTATACAAGTAAATGAGTCAAAAATAAAAATGTGTATTTGTTTTTCTTTATAAAAGCCATTGTAAATTGATGCTATTCTAGAATTATACATTAAATTAATAATATAACTGTTTATAAAATAAAGTAGATGCTGACTCTGTTTTTTAAGTAACAGTGAAACCTTAACTGAAATATCTTGAAAAATAACATTCTTTAGCATTTCAAAAGTTTCGAGTGAGACAGAGAAAGCACAACAAAACAACATAGACAGAATACAGTAACACCATAGTTGACAGTCATTCTATACTAAATTTACATTTTGCGAGGAAGGGACCAACAAGTTTAAACCTTTATAAATTTTTAATGTTCCACCATTTATCATAATTTACATTGAAAAAAAAAATTATTTATTTATTGATTCTTCTTTCTTTCTGCACAAATAGTATAAAGGTGGACTTAATACAAAAGGGATTATCTCCCAGTCAACCTTAGAGTGGTAAAGTTAAGTAAGTACACGGAAAGATATAAAAAAAAAGAATAACACTGTCAATCAATATTTTGATTGGTGTCATCATCCCTATTATCATATTATAATAGTGGCTTCATATTGTAATAGTGACTTACCGACTAGGTGAGGCTCTTTTTAAATGATCTAAGAGTAAATTAGTGAGATAGAAATGCCCCAAGTGATTTACTCCAAAATTTATTTCAAATCCCTCTTTTGTTTTTTCATCACGACTTAAAGGCACAACTACACCGGCATTGTTAATAAGAACATCAATTTTGTGGAAACCTGCTTTAATTACTTCCACAAAATTCTCAATTGACTCAAATGAAGCCAAATCCAATTGCATCGGTATCTGTAATGAAAGTATAATATGGAACATTATTATTAAATGGGTATTCTCCTATACAATGATTGTAAAAGACTGAATTATTTAAAGTGAAATAAAGTTACGCTTAGATGGCATACAAATAATAAAAAAAATTGGTAAAGGTACAGAACAAATAAAGTTACGCTTCATACACGTATCGATATTCCGATTTTTTAAATTTAATGAGTCACAGAACCGACACAGAACGAATCCGACTCGGATAGATTAGGTTAGAAGGTTCAGGCGGGAGCAGAGCTCCCGCCTAAACCTTCGATGTTAGGTTTTTTTTTTTAACCACCAAAATAAAATTGTTTGACAACAAAAAATGCGGATTAGAAAACTGCGCAAATTCTGCTTGTTGACGAATAAAATAAAAAAAATTCTCTACTCACCAATTCTCCCCCGGTAGGTTGTTCTATCCTGATCCTTTGAATTGCTTCTTTAGCCTTACCTATATCCCTGCATGCGAAAATTACTCTAGCTTTTCGCCTGACAAGAGTTTTAGCTGTTTCAAAGCCTATACCACTGTTTGCGCCGGTAATTAGGAAAGTTTTGCCTCTTAAGCAAGTATCGCTTAAACATTTCGCCCAATACCTTGACCTCCACTTACGCACTAAACCGATTGCAATTAAGGCAGATATTGGCAATGCAGCGTAAATAGCTTGCGTAGAAATAATCATTGTACATGTATTTTTTTTTTCTATATTTACTGCTAATATCTAATTATGAAAGTACTACGTAACAACAGAACAAACACTATATGTAAGAGATAAATTTGAATCTGTACTTCAACCAGATCAATAGCAAATCTTTAAATGACAGACAGATTCTGTCAGAATCAGTCAGCTGTCAGACAGACTTCAGACAGGATGACTCGATTGACAGAGTATTAATATCTAATGTCAATCAATCAATATTTTTTTTTTCCAAATACAATTTATTTTTGTAATATTTGTAATATCTAAAATATATATATATCTAAATTTACATATTACCTAATAAACCTAATCCACGTGGCATGGTGCCAAGAACGCTAGCTGCATTTCCTCGCTGAATAGTTATGCTTAATCTTTGAGCGAGAAAAAAAAACTCAAGAATTATTTCGGTCATAATAATATTGTTGGAAAACTTTTATGCTTTTTCAATTTAAATTGATGTTATGTTGTTAACTCTAGCAACATTTTTAATGCTAATAAAATCACTATACACAATAATTAGAAATATATCGAAGCACACTTTATTTATCACGTATAGGCCTCGATTATTCTAATAGCGAGCAGGTGGTTCATCTGATATTAAGTGAATACCACCGCCCATGGACTTCTGCTACACCCGAGGGTTTGCAGATGGGTTGAAAACCTTTTGAAAATTGGGCTCCGGCTACCTCACTCACCAGACGAAACGCAAAAGTATTATACTTCCACTTTACGCCGGTCTTCTGTGAGATCGTAGTACTTACCCGGACGAGCCTGCCCATTCTTGCAACAGCCAAGGCTGCTGCGTGGCCCTAACACCGTAAAATAAATATATAATCTTCTATAGTAATCCTTCCATCCTGCCTAGCAGTCCGCCGTATAAGACTGCGATTTAGGATATTATAGCTCAAACAATGTCCAATTTAGCCGTGTTGTTTTTCACTAGTGTGTGGATTCTTTAAATTAGATGTTTACGTTGGCCTAAAGGTCCTTAACACCAAGCCATAAAAAAGAAGTTTACATGCTTTTCAATAAAAAGGAAATTGCAATTCATTCAATATTTTTTGTTATTGGGTAAAAATAATAAAGGCATGGGAAAAGTAACTATTAAAAATTCGTCAGACCGATGCGATATTTGCTGTTAGATCTTTTTTTTTCTTCATATTTTTAAAAATTGTTGCAATGCCGTATTTCTCAATTGTTTCTTAGCGTATTTTTGTTTCTGATCTCTTAAACACGTGTTTTCTTCAGAGATTTCAATAAAATCTAAATTCGTGTTGCTCATTATTGTAACAAAATGGTCGAATGCAATCTAGCTTCGGTACCAGGGACTGAACTCAGGTTGCTCGAGTATATTGAAGCGAGCGCCCGGACAATAATCTGTTAAGGCTTGTGAGAATTTCTGTCAGCAGAATAGTAGTAACTATGCGATCTTAGTTATTTTTCATGAAATTTAGATTCATCATCATCATCATCATCATTTCAGCCTGTTTGAGTCCACTGCTGAACATAGGCCTCACCCACAGACTGCCATGAAGTACCTGAGCCACCTGCATCCATCGACTTCCCGCACATTTGCACTAGTCGTCACTCCATCTAGTGAGATTTATCAACTTTAGATTACATAGATATAATTCTAGTCTAATATTAATTAATATTATTTCTGTCTAGCATTTGTTAGAAACATAATACAAAATATACTATTTATTGAGGCTGATAATTTCTTAGCTTCGTTTCATTTAATCCCAAATTATTCAAATTTGAGATTAAACGAAGCTAAGAAATTATTACAACAACGAACCATCGATTTCAATTGTTACGATATTCTAGTAATATTTTCTCCATAATTGATGCTCATCATGTGCAGCTTTATCGGAAAAAACCTGCCGAAAATGTGTGATCCTTCGTTAATGGATTTTTCGGCTTCTCGGCCGTCGAACCTCTTTCTTCTCTTCGTCTCTTTGCTATACGGAACTATATATTCTATTTTACTTTATATATCTATTTTAATTTATATATTATACTATTTCATCGTGCGCGTAGTCCATTCCGAAATGTATAGCAAGAGGTTATCACAAACTTTTACAAACTTCCTTGCGGCAAAGAAGAAAAGGCACTTCTTGTTTCAAAGCGATGTTGATTATAAATTTTTCCGAGACTAAAGTCCTACTCTTCGACTTACTGGTGAATTTTTAGTGCGACACCATGATAAACGCCATTAAATTGTGCCAGTTTAATAGATGGATCTTTTATTTGAAATATATTATAAGGGACAACTAGATAAAAATCCATAATCCAGGCTATGACAAACAATTGATATGATATATGTACAGATATCTACCTAAGGAATGAAATAGACTTTACTTCTCGCTTCCATTATTAAGACATTTATAAAATTTTATGTTAATAATAACAATTCAGTAAGTATTTTTTAGTATGTTCTTAATAGGACTATTACATAAACTTGCTTGAATAACATAAAGAAAATGTGTTAACTTTTCATAATTTAATATTGATAACATTAAAACTACGTACTTGTTTTTGCGAAAAAGACTTATTTGGGCAGTGTTTTTACAATTTACAAACAATATATATTCACCCCATTATGGTGGCAGTAACAGATATCGAAGTTGTTATTCTGAATTTAATAAATCCTCTTGTAGTTTCTTATTTAATTAAATTTTCTAAACTATAGAAACAAAATTAAAAAAACGGTTAAAAGCACTTTCCACTAAATCCGTTAATTGCCTTTAAACATTAGGATGTTTCCTTTCTAAATAATATTAGTTTAACTTGAATAATCTATTTATAAAATAGAGAATGTATCTGAAATGTAAATATTAACCAAGTTATTAAATTAATTTTAATATTAACCAAAATATTTGTATAAATGCTATCACTAAATAGTTCAAATGTAATTTGCAATGGAACAGTAGCGTGATGTTATTTATTTTTATTTAAATTGGCTCTGTTGTGGAAGTCGGCACATGATTAGTTATGAACAAAAAAATGTTAAATTTATCATGGAAAATTTGTGTGACCGTAACTTAAGAATTATTTAGGTATTAATAAAATTCATCTGCATTTCATGATGATTAAGTACCTAATAAACTTATTTTATTTTAAGAATATTCCATTGGCACCTTCTGTAGATATATAAAAATAGGGAATCTTGTGGCGCCCTACGATTTTCGTTAAATGGAATTTTTTTCGCTAAGGTGTCCATGTTTGACGTAAGCTTATTTTGCGTGGCTTTTTTCAGTTGTGGTGAATAGTTTTTTACACACAAAACTTCTTCCATTTACGCTTTAAAGCATAGCTAAAATTTATGTATCTTTATGCTTTTCGAAAGGCATAACGATTTTCTTTCTTTATCACCTATAAACTTCGCATAAATTGCTTTGGCCAAATTGATGATTAATGTAAGCAAGCATCACGAAGCTTTCGTAATTATATTTAAAAAAAATATAATATTTTGTAATGTTCGTTTTAAAATACAATATGTCGTTCCTCTTTTTTCATCATCTTTGAGCTTCTTTGATTTCATTCGTTCTTTTATATAACGTTCTTTATAATAATCATTCATTCACAACATGTTAAGTGACGTAAATGTATGTATAATTAGGAACAAAATTAAAGTAGACAACCAAACCTTTACATCATAATTAGCCCAATATGGTATATAAGAATATATCCCTAAGTAATTTCGCAGATAAAAAATTACAAACCTTCTTGCTCGGCTGCGTTTTTAACAATGTGCACGATCACAACTTCGTATATTTACCTATATAAAGTTTCTATAAATAAGCATTGATGTAAAGTACAACATGCAATAAACATTTTAAATGCATCTTGTAGGTAGAATTGCGCACTGCACATATGAAATATCCAATATATAGAATTTGATAAAGAATTAGTTATCTAATATAGATGTAGCTTAGTTACTTTACACCATTTCAACATAAACTGATTTTAATAAAATTATGGCTTTATATATATTATAATAAACACATATTAAACTGTTATATAAAACTAAAACATTAAATTGGAATGAATCATCGCTATAGATATAAACTATGACATCTTACACTACGAATTAAGAGTTACGAGCACATTTAATAAATTTTAAAGGAGATTCATTATCTTAGATTCAGGAAATGTAAACATATAAGCAATATATTTATTGAACTATGGAATTATAATAATTCTGAAATAACAAAAGCATCGCCAATTATATGCTAGAAACATTCAAGATTAGAAAACAACTTTATTCTCGGACTAAACGATTTCATAAGAGAAAATGACACTATATTTAAACATTACCGTGCCGAAGCAGATAGCAGCATCTATAAGTTTACGTAGTTTCACATGGGCGTTGATAGTTGATGCCGAGACTTGTCCAAACCGACATCCACTGTCACAGCCTTTCCATCAACTGGTGTACCACTGTCCACATCACTGTCTGGCATAATCACACACACGAAAGATTTTCCACTCGTGGCATCCCTGGGGTATATTGTCATTGGAATGAATCTATCACTCGTGCCGTCTACATACGCTGCTAAGCGGGAATATACTTCGGGGAAGTGCTTCCTCAACACAACGCCCCGGCTCTCCAATTCGTGTACGATGTTTTTGAAGCATATTTCCCTGAATTTGTGAGCGGTCGCGGCGTTCCTCTCCCCGGCGTTGCTCATTTTCGACGTCAGAATCAGCGTTTCCCTGTCATCCGGCGTACCTTTGCTGTCCCTTCTGTTGCGTTTCCGATTCTGTTCCTGTATGGCCGCAGTAACGCTCTTACTGAGGCGTAGCTTCGCGCATCTGGAAACCATCTGCCGTTCCCACTTCACAGCGCCCTTCGTCGGCACCTCGCTTATTATGCACACGGCCACGTACAGGATCACCCTCGTTTCGGGGTTGTACGATTTGCATAGCTTGACCACCTCCGTGTACAGCTCCACGCCCATTTCGTTCGGCTGCAGCGATATCCATTTGACGTACTCCGGTTCGCTGAGGTATTGGTAGCCGTGCGTCGTGAATTTCTCAGCAGCTTCTGGACTAGTGAAGAAGACTTTGACCACGCCCCTGCCCTGGGCCAGGTAGCCTTTATGGCCGATGGTACTAATTTGATGTAGGGAGTTCACGTCCTCCTTGGCAGCGGATATGATCTGTCTGCAGAGCGCACTCGCTCGGGAGTGCAAGCACACTTTCCTGTGTTTTTCCCAATGCGCTCTTCGGCATTCTTTCGAGCAGTACATGGTGGAGCAGTTGTGACACGATTTGTAATGTCTCTTGGCGTCTGAAAGCGGGGCGCGGGAGGGACATTTAGGGTATTTGCACTTGACGAAGGCGTCGTCAGCGCTGTTTTCTGTTTGCAAGGAAAGTAGGGAGGTTTTGGAGTCATGGTGCGTGAGGCGAGGCTCTGCGGTGCGTAAAGCCGAGGGATCGAGGCTAGTTCTTCGGTCTAACGAGGTGCTGGTATGAGCGAAGGGTTCGCTTCTCCTACGGGAGTTTTCGCCCTGCGCTGACCGCGAACGTCTCGATTCTTGCATTGCGGTAGAATTATCAACTGGTTCCTTGTCTGTAAAGAAATATTACGTCAAAATATTGTTGCTGAAATATTGACAGTTTTCTTCCAATCTTACTAGACGCAGGACCATTGACCACATAAAGTAGTAATTTTGTAAGACAATCATGCTTAAAAGGCCAATTCAATAGCAAACCTTACCTGGCACCATACAGGAGTTATGAAATATGAATGTGTATTATTCAATTGCAAAAATTTTGTCTGTATAGTTGTAGGGATAGATATTGTGTAAGGCACAAGCGTGGAGGGAAGATAAAATATAAAAATTGGAACGGTTTAGACTTACATATCATTCCTACCTTGTCGATCGTGATCTGGGCTGGGGTCAGTGAAGGAGCTTGGCCCTTCACTAGGGGTGCCGATGAATCGGGAAGCTGGTGACGCGCTGCTATGTCCACTACTAGCCAACTGTTCGTACCGAGGGCTCTGGGGAATAAAGCGTTACTAGTCGAAATCTCGACTCACTAATTCTTACCTGATTGCGAAATGAGGGATATTAAAATAATGTTCTGTCCGAACTAGCATATTCCACCATATTTTAGCCGCGTCTTTATTCAAAATGATCAGGCGAAGGACTTAAAGGAGCAAGGAAAAGGGCTAAATGAGATATTTTAATGACTATGTTTACCTTCCCGCCCATAAAGTAATAAGGACTCTTCCTAGGACTAGGCTGCGGAGTGGGTATTCTTGCAGGTTGTGGAGGTAGGCCCAATAAGGAATCCAGTACGTCTTCTAAGGTGGTAGAGCCGGGTGATGGCCTCCCAAGAGTCATGGGTTGCTGTGACTCTTGCCAGTCTGGAAATAGTTACTTTACTTATTATGTAATTAATCTTCAATGAATTTGCGAAATTAAATTGACGAATGATAAATAGAAGAAAAAATAAAAGGCCTCATTTAATAAAAAAAAAACAAAAAGCAAACGACCAGCTTGTATACGTCCCACTGCTGGGCAACGCCTCCTCCATACAAGGCGTATAAAGGTCACACAAAAATTTTCCGGAACTGGCCACTTACATAAACAATATATAAAAAGTAATTACAACATTTGAAAATGGAACTCTTTGGCTGTAGAATGCAGTTTGTTTCATCTGACTGTCAATTGGTTTTATATTGTGGTGCCATTACCTCTATCGATTTAACTCGGGAAAATTTTCTTAGTATGATTTTCTACGTTTTTAAGTGACAGTTCAGCAGTGCCACGATCGGCTTTAATCTTTGTCGATGAAGCACCATGCTAGACGAATATTTATAAGTAGTTTGCGGAATTCAAGCGATCTCGCGATGGTCGGCCGTCCACCACTGTGAACAACAAAAACAACGATGCTATGTGCCGTATGATCGAAATAGACGGGCATGTGACCTTCCATGAGATTCGGGCATCCTTAGACATAGGCATGCGTTAAATATAATCAATCCTATACAAACATTTGGCTGTGAGAAAGCTATACTCGCGGTGGATCATACACAATTTGACCGAGGCTCAAAAAAAACGGACCGCGTCACTTGGCGCATAGCCATGGCTTCCAGATTCAAAGAAGGGGCGTCAAATTTGCTGTGGGACAAAAGTAACAGGTGAAGAAGCATGGGCTTATCGCTACGATCCCAATACATAGCAGCAATCGAGCGTATGGGTCTTTCAAGATGATCCGAAACCAACTAAAGCGGCGCGAGTGAAAAGTGCATCGAAGCGAATGATTGCTCTTTTTTTTAATAAAACTAGACACGTGGCTACTGTTGCTTTAGAGAATCGTCGTACCATTAATAGTGACTTGAGTAAATTAATTAAACATTTGGAGTAAATTAATTAAACGATAAATAATTAACTGTTTAAACATTTAGCATGATAACCAAAGCGCTTACCTAAAGCATGATAATTAACGACCAAATATGAAACAAACAATTTAACTACAATAAAACACTACATAATAATACGAAAAATTTTAGCGATATTTATCATTATATTTCTTTGATAAACTTTCTATAAAGTAATATTTAACTTTCTACTGTAAGGTAGTTTTAAATATAAAATAATGGTATAAGTAACTTTAATTTTTAATGATTAAACAAGCCATATTTTTTGTAATGGCAGCTTTTTAGCATCATGTTAATTCATAACAAATTATAACTTTGAGTAAATAAGAGTAGATGCCGGCATAGTTGCGTCTAAGTTAGAAGTTTATTTTTCAGATTCCTACTAACAAAGCGCTTTATTAACGATATGTACATAAAATGACCCAGCTCATTTAACATCTCTCCTTGTTCTCAACAGGCTACGAAATCGGAGCAGGTTCTAAATTAGATTAGATTTTTTTGTTTGTTACCTCGCAACAACGTCGGTTATGAAATGATTGAAAAATATAATCGGGTTCAATTTAACTCCTACGTGGTCCCCTATTAATTTAATTGTTATTGGTCCTTGAACCCCGGAGAAACATCAGGAAGTTCAGGAGTCACTCAAAATCAAACATTGATCCTCAAAAATCAATTTGTCTTTTGTTAATAAAAACAATGTTGTCTGTTTTTAATAGAAACGTATGTGAGACGGTGACAATCGAGCTGGCCTTTTCAAGTGATGTTAAGCTGAATTATACCCATGGATATTTGTAACACAGTGCGGGTTGTGTGAACACAATGAAGTCCACTCCCTAACCAGGCTGAACGCAAAAGTATACTATTCAAATCATATTAAACCAAAGCAGATGGTAAAACTGTGGTTCTTCCCCGGAAGAGTCTGCCCTGTTCCCCTATTTCAGTAAGTCTTGCGTCTTTTTAACATAATTATGTTTTATGCAACCGATTTGTATGTGTAATCAATGTGTAGCTCAAAAGCTCTGTATTCTCCTTAAGCCGAGCTTCCAACTTGTGGTCGTTCCCATCCTCGTGAGAGATAGAATCCTTTTATTAAAACGTATTCAGAAACTAAAAATTGTACCTATTGTTTTCAAGCTTTTTCAATTTTATGTATGCCATTTGTTCCACGTTCCGGCAAAAGGTTTCTCTGTGAAGGGGTTATTAGGGCCCAGTTCTCCTCACACTTCATATATCTTCGATTTTTTTTTAAACTAATATTACTACTAATATTATGTACGGTTACACACATTGTAAATTATATTGTTTACTTTATTCCTTATTTAGGTAGTAGTTTGTGTTAGTATGTCTTTAATAAATAAATCTAAGTCAAAGCCCAAATTTATTTATTCAATAGCCTATATTGAATAAATAAATTTGGGATCTTATTGGACTTAAAAAAAAAACTAACATTGGTTCTCTAAACTAGAGCTGTCCAGAGAAGAACTGGCAAGAACCTTTGCGACAAAAACAGAAAATTGTTCTCTTGAACGTCCTAAATTGAATCTGAGTCCGGACATCTGGAACAGATTATATTAACTGCGGTAAGGCCATGCTGTTGCACGAATGGGCAAGTCCGTCCGGATAAGTACCACGCGCAGAAGACCATCAAGTTCCACTTCTGCATTTTGTCTGGTGAGTGAGGTAGCCGGGGCACACTTTATTAAAAAGTGGCAAAGTGGCAAAAGTGGCAGTGGTTACAAATGTCAATGGGCGGCGGTTATTCCTTAACATCATGTGACCTACCGCCTCGCTTGCCATCTTATCACATAAAAAAGATTAAATTTGTATGAAGCCAAATACACCAACAAAAAGCGTTATAGGGGTATAACGCTTTTTCCCTTTTCCTATTTCTACCAAATTACAACTCCTGCAGGCTACGTTAGTAACTTCCTGCTAAAAAATTTACAGTACCGTTGACCCTATGTTGAAACACTTGCGAAAAATGCTGTCCGTGCCGGGCCAACTTACCTTCTCCATATCATGAAGCCCAGAAATCTCTATGAGATTTATACGTGACACAACTTTTTACTTTGTCTTATTGCATACCTTAAATAAAAAAAAACTTATAGATCTCTACAAACGATGTTTCGATGACGCAGTATTGATGGACTCGTAATGCGATACCTGCAAACATCTCTAAAGTTGAATAACTGGGAAAGGTGCCGATATAGAGAAGCCTGCCGAGTTGTGATTGAAAACATTTTACGACATAAAAGTGATTATTTTGCAGGACAGCGCTGATGATGACAGTGAATGACGATGATGAGAAATAAAAAAAAATTGCTAGCAATGATAAGGATCTATATTGTGATTAAATTGTTATTTTTTTTTTTGTTGCGATCGGTGGAAGTTTTGCGTTTGAAACGACGATGGCCACATTTCTATGGTGATAACCGTGCCCAAAAACTTGATGTAATTTTATAAAATGTTAACTTGAAAGAACTTGCGATCTAGAATTTATTTACTTTTATTATGTTTAAAGGATTTTTTGTGTAGCAATATTGATAATATTTTCCTTCGAAACCCTTTAACTATTTCAGTAAAAAAGTAAGTTTCATTGAATAAAAGCTATTTATAAATATAGATTGCATGCACATTTTACCGGCAGAAACGGTAATCGTCGTTTGCTAAATGGTCTATTGTATAAATGAAGGCACAAAATATAGGCCAATTAAAGGCTATAATAAATTCGTTATTTTAAGTATTTTTCTAAAAGACCAATGATAAAAAATTACCCAAGCCAACAAGAAAAGATTTGTAAACTGAATCCAAGTTGACAAATACATTCCAATATCTCATTAAACGTCGTTTCTTAAATGTGGACGGCACAGAAATCAAAATAAAACAAAAATATAAAATAAACTGAATATATTCAATAATTGTTATGATTAAAATGTAACTAAATTACATTGATGTAAATGATAGAATGATTGACACTGTCAATATTAAATATAAAAATTAAAATTCATGTGTTCTAATTACAAATGAAGGTACCGAGATTCTATAAATATAATGCTATATCTACGTATAAAATTACATTTTAGGTACTATTCCAACAACAGGCAAACATGTGTGCGCGTAGCTATAATAAAAATGGAGAGAGCTACAGTACGATCTAACATTGAATAAAAAAAGTTTTTAAAAAATGATGCCTTTTTTTAGTGAGAGACTAAAAATTCGCCAAGTCCGTGTTTTTTTTTTAAAGGATTGGCGAATTTATCTTCGTGAGGCTCATTTCAATGGAGCGATGTAATTGAAAGGCTTCGTTAAACAAATTCGACGCGATACTTTCGGATTATTTTCTTCGGCGGTGCGAATTTTGAACGCAAATCAAAGATTTCTAACCTAATCAGAACCTGTATAATTTACTTAGGGTCCATGTAAGGGCCCAATATAAATTATGAGGTGATTTAAGTAGAAGGAACTTACTATACATTTCTGATACTACAGTCAGTCAGGTTGTTACTTCTCACCACCAATTTTGGTTATGGTTCTGATAACTGCTGCCTTAAAAAGTTTAATAATACTTTAGGCATTTTTTTGACAATTTTATTATTTGTGACAATGAAAGTCTATAATTGAAATAAAGTAATATTAAATATTTGAAACATCTTATTCTTCAATCATACATAGTATAAGTAGGTAACAGATTAATTAGCACCTAAAATAAAATATAGCAACATGATAAATTATTTACAAATCTATGTTTTATTATTAACTAGCATACAGACTAAATTCTACAGAATTGAATTTAAAATAAACACACAAACAAAATAACTTATGCTGTACAATTCATCATTGTAAAAAAAAATAATTCCTACACATTTTACTGGTTCCTGCTTCCATCGATTTTTATTGCAATTACGATTATGGCATTACAATCATAATTGAAAGATATTTAGTATATTTGTCGTTAAATCAATTGAATTGTGATATGTTCGTTAGATAGTGTGTATTATTTTTTAATTTAAATACACTAAATTCTATTGGATTAAAATCAAAATACATCATAACATTGCATTTATTTATTAAAACTAAATAAATTTATATCATTAACATTATAAAAAATGTTTTGGCGGGTTCATAATGTTACTCTCATCATTGTACTAGTAACATTCATAGCTCATCAAGAAAATAAACGTGAAATATGAACTTATGTAATAATGATTTGCATAAAATATTAAGCCACGTAATAAAACTCTGAAGCTACTACAAGCCAGTGCTGTGTCTTATGTAAAAACGCAAAGATAACAGGTTACAGGATAACACGTCTTGTGTATATTGGAAGTTGTGAATGTGCACAGATGTCATAAAGTAAAAAACGTTACATGTCAATGGTCCTGAGTCTTAATCACAGTCTATAAAGCTCAATAATTACCAAAAATAAAATTCAATTATTTGCATTTCGTTCAATTTCGCAATAACTAAAAAAGACACACAGCACAAAAATAATTAACTCACCAGAGAAGTAACGTAACACAAAATTAACAAGAAAAAAAAAACACCGCAGGTTTGGATTTCAAAAGTTAAAGGCTTCGCTACTTGTATTTATACTGAAACAACTTTGTTTAATTTTTATCTCACTAAATATACCAACAAAGCAATTTTCGAAGAGATGTACAGTAACATAATATGTTCTATTACTCTTTACAGGCAATGCTTACAATCAAATACGCATGCTCACTGATTCGTAGTAAATACGTAATGTTGAACAACCATTGCCGCTTTATAACGGAATGTACTGGCGCGGTAGAAATCAAAACCTGCAATGTATGTGTTGTTGTGGTCACGCTCGCTCACCGGGCGCGGCGCGGTGCTCGAGGCGTAGGGAAGATGGCGGCCGCGGGTGCGGCGGCGGCAGCGACTCCGTCACCACTAATGGCGTCTGCGGCGAATCTAAAGGTTTCGTGCCTTGAAATGGTATAATTCATTTATTTAAAATTCCACCACGAACCAGTGATGATCTCTCGATATGAGTTTCTGAGAGTTTAAAACATTATACTGTCCTAGCCTAGTGGGCAATGAAATAAATATTTGAGTTACATTATCATTAGCACACATTGGCTGTTCATATCGGGCGCTTGATAAGAACTTCTGGGCATGTTGTGCAGAAGGTGCATGTACGAATTTTGATGACGCCAAAAATTTTTGCATTTAATTTCATTAGCAGTCAGCCCATGGACATCAAAAACACCTGAGTGGTTTCAGATGCGCTGTCAATTTTAAGCTAACAAAAGTATACTTATACTTCACGATGCTCATCCATGAGGCCGAGATGCTTATGCGGACTAACCTGCCCATTCAGTGCATACATATTACCCGTACAGTGAAACATAAAGTTGCAGCGTGGACCCACCACAGTTTTGACAACCAAAAATACCCACCGACAAAGGAGCTCTCGAGCCAATACAACTTCTGGCTGGACCTAGGCGACGGCTGGCGGTCCACATCCCCATTGGCGGGCTCGAGTCCAGATACGTAGTGGACTATAGCTGACGTCACTTCCTTTATCGAAGACTGGATCTCCTCCGACGCTTTGGCTGACGCCGTCGACTGCTGTAGGAGGGAGGAAGCTAGCCTGGAATGCAAATAAAACATTCTAAATATAGCCGATAATTTTATGTAACAGCTGTCAAATAAAATAGGAGAAGTCAATCGTTGTTTGTATATTATTGATACGTCGTATATGGATACGTCTAACTATTATTTTATTCAAAGTAAAGTAAATTTAAAAAAAAGTTTATTAGTCTAAGATGTATTTTAGATATGTAAAAAACACCAAGACGCCTTCTACCTAGACAATTAACCGTTTTTCCGAGCATCAGGTGTAAGAGATTTTATGTACTGTAGGATAAATCATTGCAACTAGTAAGCTAATGTAGCTGGTAGCAGGTGGCGTAGCAAAAAGCATAGCAAGTTTTCGACTACGAACGTGCCTCTACGCAGATAGATATAGATCGTAAGTTCTACGTTTTTGCACAAGCCTCACCTAAAATAAGATGGTGACATAGAGCAAGGATAAAATACCACCTGATAGTAACGCCAAGGGAATTGGAATGTAGGGTGTTTTATAAAGCGCAGACATTCATTTACCGCACTAATGCCCGTTTTTACCATCGATCATCTAAAGTCTTAAGCGTGACACTCAATCTGTGGTGAAGACGAAACTAGCACTTAATTTTTTTTACGTATCCCTTAAAGTTAGGGATGGATGTGGAAAACGGGCATAAAAATTGAAAAAAAAAAGTATCTCTACTTCACACTGGCCGTGATAGTGCTCGACTGTTTCAAGCGGGTGTATATATATTTTTTTAATATATGGAACTGATTAGCGCTTGACTGCCATCCCACCTGATGGTAGGTGGCGAATGGCGATGCAGCCGTGGATAGTGAGCGCGCTAGCTCAGTGAAAGCCCATTCACTCACTCTTGCATAAATTGCATATACCAAATTGTATCTAAGAAAAATTGACACCGTCACGGTTGTCCTTCGTGCATCCGAATGATTTCGGACTTGGATTTCGGCCGCGTTCCCGGACGGTGATATAACCACTAGTGCTGCTTGTCGTTATAACAGTTGTTAATATTCAAGTTCGCTAATAGTTAAAATATTAGGATCAAGGTAAAAACGTTAGTTCCCCTAAAAGTTGTTATATATGAGCAATCCCCCCGAAGTTACCTCTCGTGCGGCGTCCTAGGGGTGGTGTTGAGGCGCTCTTGGCTCCTCCAGCCGAGGTAGGGCTGGCGCGCGCTGAATGAAGATCTAGCGGAGGGCGAGCACAGGGGACTCCCGCCGCGGATGCTGCTGCGTGTAGAGGAACAGGGCGACGTCTGCGAAAGCGTTAAAAGTCAACCTATGGTTAAAGCATATCACACCATTGCGGAATATCCCGACGACGCCAATGTGTGGAGGTAATACAGTTGATACTCACGTAGGGTATAATAAGACTATTATACCTGTATGTTATATTGTATTCTGATACATTTTTGAAAAAGAGCAACTGTTGAGTTTCTTGCCGGTCTCTTCTCAGCATACAACATATATAATTTGAAGCAAACATAAAAAAGTACATTTGAGAGTCGCCTAGTTTATTAAGTCGGTTGAAAAATGTTCGTCGTAGTAAATTATGGCAAGATTGTATAAATTAAACAAGGTGCAATGTCGGGTTACGCAACAGTCTTCGCTGTTGCACGAATAGGCTGGTCAGTCCGAGTAAGGACCAAAACCTCACAAAAAACCGGCTTGTAGCGGGAGTGCCATACTTCTGAGTTTCGTCTGATAAGTGACGTAGTCGGGTCCGACTTTATTAAAAGGTGCATCTGCGACCGTACGGATGTTGAAAATGCCACGCAGCGGCTATCACGTAAAATCTTGCCAATCAAATGTATCGAACGCAATCAGTAAGATAGTGAAAACTCGGTACGAAGAATGACCACTGACCTATTCGAATTGAGACGGCTGGTGTACGTAGTGTGTAAAAAGACTACTGACCTAATTCGAATCGAGACGGCTGGTGTACATAGTGTGTAGAAAGACTACTAACCTGATTTGAATCGAGATGGCTGGTGTACGTAGTGTGCAGAAAGACTACTGACCTGATTCGAATCGAGACGGCTGGTGTACATAGTGTGTAGAAAGACTACTGACCTTATTTGAATTGAGATGGCTGGTATACGTAGTGTGGTGAAAGACTACTAACCTGATTTGAATCGAGACGACTTGTGTACATAGTGTGTAGAAAGACTACTAACCTAAATCGAATAGAGACGGCTGGTGTACGTAGTGTGTAGAAAGACTACTGACCTGATTCGAATTGAGACGGCTAGTGGACCATCTGCCGAAGCTGGTGGTGTGCGGGGAGAGTTGGGGCGGCGGCGGTTGGGCGTTGGCACCGAGGCTGCCCAGCGACGTGGTCTTGGAGTTGAGCCCGCCCCACCGTGCGGCCGACGAGGCGTCCGAGAGCCTCTTCCGCAGCAGGAACCCCTCGCGGGGCGCCGGCGCGTTCTTGTACCTTGAAGTGCATTCGGCCAGTCAAAACAAGAACTATAGCCTCGAACATACCGGTGCGGCGCGAGGTGCAAGTAACTTTCATCGTGTTTCGTGATGAGTTAACAGGGGCCCAGTTTTCAAATGTTTTGCAACGCCTGGCGGTGATCCCTTAACAACAGGTGAATTGTCTGCTCGTTTGCCAGCTTTTGACATAAAAACGCCGAATACATTATGTATCGACTGAAATACATGTCACTGGACGTGGCTCTTTTCGAAATAGTTAATCGTTAATGAGATAGAAAGTATATTATACAGCGTGTCTTTACAATCGCGACAATAAATGAACACACATATAGAGAATATGAATATGTTTTCAAATTATATTAAACATTTATTACAGAGTTATTAAATTTTTCAAAAAAAAAATTTTAGAACATCCTTACGTATAATACTGTAACGTAAAGTTCATTTGTAAAGGTCAATATGAATGGGCTAAATGAGTTTAAAAGAGAAAAAACATACTGTTAGAAGGAGAGGCTTGTAATGCGACGCTGTGGCAACGAATGAAAAAGTCTCTGAATGTATGAATCAGTCAGTTGTAGTTGTATAGAATGTTACAAATTTTGTTTCTTTTTTACTTAATTAGTTCGTTTGAAAAATATATTTTTTTAATGATGGATTTTTTTAACGTTAATATTTTTTTATGATTATTGGCAAGTAGCGTTAGACGTGTCTTCATTTATTGTCACGATGGTAACATTGGTAACGACACGCTGTATTTACAGCTGTATTTACAGCGTGTCGTTATTATATATATATTATTGGTATATACCAACGAGCACAATTTATTTCCATTGCAGTTTTGATGCAGAGCATTTTTGGATTTTTTTAGTTGTAGTATAATCACTTCAAAGGCGCAAAGCAGATTATAGCACACAATATGGATAATACTACAAGTATAAGCGATCTTTTTCACGAATAAATCAATAAGAATTGAACTTTTCCAGTTAGATGTTTTCGGTTATTAATTGCTATAATTATTACTAACTATAAAATAAATAAGGCAAATATTTTTTTTATCTGAAAAGTTAAATGCTTATGACTTAGGTGTGGTTTCTTTATCTTTTATCAATCGAACGCGATACTATTCGTTACTGAGTAACCAGGATATGACTTTAGCGTAAGTTTATTTTTACCAACAAAAAACACAACTTACTTTCTACGTCTTGATTTTGAGTATTTTCTTGATATACCTCCGGAGTCCAAGGAGTCAATACCGATAAATGGGACCACATGGAAGCTAAAGCTTTGGTTCGGCCAAATGCAAAAATGTTTTTTAAAATAAGTTCCCATATAACGGCGTGCTGATGTAGCAAACTTAAAACAATACAACCTCATGTTTTTTAGGATTCCGTACCCAAAGGGTAAAACGGGACCCCATTACGTACACTCCGCTGTTTGTCTGTCTGTCTGTCCTCTGTTACCGCTGTATCTCATGAACCGAGATAGTTAGACAGTCGAAATTTTCACAGTTGATGTATTTCTGTTGCTGTTCTGTTGTTCTGCCGCTATAAGTACAAATGCTAAAGAACAGAATAAAAAATATTTAAGTGAGGCTCCCATACAACAGACATGATGTTTTTGCCGTTTTTATGGACGAATCTATATACATCATTTTTGATGTAAAATTTGACGATTCAGAAGAGCGCGTAAGCGTCTATTTGAATAAATATATTTTTGATTAAAAAAACATCACAAATTTAAATTGTAGCAAACGGTTAGCTCGCCTTCATGGATGCATGGATACCGAAATTCTCTCACTTTTGTATTCACAGCGCAAGTCACTCGAAACAGACCAGTAACCCTGCATTATTTCTTTCCTTCTAGGGAACTATTTCTTTCTATCTTAACTATTTGAAACGTTTGTTGTTAATTAAGTAAGAAATTATAGTTGCAAGATATTATCATTACAGTTTATTCTTCTCGTGCTCGTAAATATTCGTTTGTTTAATAATAAAAGTGAATTGAATATGATTTACTAAATTGGATTATTAAAAATAACATAATATAAACTGACAGTTACATTCATAGCCATTGACGAGTATGTATATGCTTTAAACAGTTTTCGAATAACTTAATTTTTTTCACTCCATTAGCACACTGTCGTAGCGATAGGCTGCGGAGCCACCGGTTGTGCGTTTGATCCTCGCTAGGTTAGTATGCCGTATAACTAAAATACTTTTTTTAAACTCTATGCGTTTGTTCGTGTTATATTGTAGCGAGACTGGACTAGTCTAATCTTAAAGTTAATGACATTAAATAAATGTTATTTTGTATAAGACCTCACAGAAGCCCGGGTGTTGAAATACTGCGTTTCATCTGAAAAGTGAGGTAATCAGGTCCCACTTTATTAAAACCCTACGGGTGTTGCAAATGCGTCTTCGGGCGGCGGTTATCACTTAACATCAGGTGAACTCCCAGCTCGCTATGGATATTATTTTCTCATTTAATTAATTCCTTAGTTGCATGAACAGAGTAGACCATTACTTGTTAAAGAAAACCAGAACATGATTGGTGACACTCCAATTATAGGTACAAACAACATACAAAATCATCAACAGCATTTCAAATTAAGAATTAAATTAGAATTATCAATTCGAAATAAAACGAAGAAGAAAACAAACGACACTACATCTATAACCGGCGTTAATCACTTATTCTTAATTGGAAGTGCAATAGACTGCTTCGGTTAGTGAATGGACGAGAGGCCATGTCGCATCTTTGGGGCAAATAATTGACTGGTCCCAATACAGGGTCTAATTAGTGCGTAGTTAGCAGCAATAGAGCGCAGTGAGAGACTTGCGTGAGAAACTGCGAAGCATTAGGCTCCGATGATCGTATGATTAAATAACTAGGCCACAAAGTATACGTAAAGAAAAAATTTGTACGAAACGAACTAAATTGTTTATTCGGTTGATTTGGATTAACCGTCTAACTTTATCGCTGTTGTAATGTAGAAAAAGAATTGGAATTAAACCGAACAAGCTTGTTAATAATAAATAAAACTTCTTTCAACCAAAAAGGTGCTCCAATTACGGAAACGTCATTTCGTTATTTTTAGTAATTTAGATTAAAACCCAGCAATCTAGATTGAACCAAATAATTAATTTAACACGCGGAATCATATCTGATAACATCGATAAAATGTATTTGGGACATATTTTGCTGAAACGAAACTTTAAAATTCTTTCACATTGAGAGTATTTATAATTACTACTCCGGATTTTCATAGAAGACAGTTTCATGGGTAAGTTTTTTAAAATTCACATATATTTTCATCCACATATTCAAAACAATAAATACTTTCTATAAGATAAAAAATGAGTACGTAGTAATTTGTAAAATGATAAAATATTTTTTTTAAATACAGGTCACGAATACGTTACGAAGCAATTCGATAACGCTATCGTAGTAATCCACTAACATACTATATCAAATAATTTCATATATCATAATATCAGCTTTTCAATAATATCACGAAAAGCGTACCACGCTTTTTAACATAGGCTCGAAATTGTATCAATTTAGACGTATTGAAACGTAAGAGGGATTATTGTGAATCGATAAAATAGAAGAGCTCAGCACTGGAATATACTCATCCCCACTTGTCAGAGCTTACCTTAGCTACTTAGCTTCAGTAAGCTGTTTGTCAAAAGCAGTAACCAGGATCGATGCCTTTTGACATTTTTGTTTAATCTGTATTGTGCTCTTCTGAGCACCGTCAAAAGTATGAATTTGATTTTCAAAAAATGGCGAATCCATGACTGTTTGTATATTTATGTACCTTTGAGTGAAATACCATTCGACGAACCACGATGAACCACTTCAATTTATTGATATCGTCTCGTCATGCCGCTTTTTACTTCGAGTACTACTATATTACTACTTCGATCAATTATTCTATAACATACAAGTAAACACAAGTAGTAACGTTTATACCCTTTGTGAATAAAAGAACACTTCAGCGGTGGCTCGCGAAAATTCTAGTAGTTTATAGAATCATAACACTGAAAATTTCCTCACCATTCGGGTACATTGAGCTTCTGCAGCGATCTCTGGACGCGCAACTCGTGCTCGGAGAGAACACGGTCCGAATTCTTCTGCAACTCGTTCTCAGGGGGCTGAAACAAAACAGATAGTCAATAAATACAAATCCAATCGACGACTTATAACTTATGCTAACAAAAATGCTATACCTATGAATATAACAGGCCAAAGCAGGACTATATACTACGATGTGCAGCGAGGATAAGGAAAATAAAAATATTGTACATTAAATCTAACTTTAACGATTTACACTAGAGAGTATCAATTTATTACGATTACTCAGAAGCCACATTTACCGATTCTTCTATATCTACAGGGGCTAAGCGGTAAAAGGACCTATAAAAAGACGGATCAGCCTTGGCAGCAAAGTTTTTCAGCTGCTCTATGTTATTCAAGTCGTTCATCGACGACGAGTCTATAATGCCCTCATCTATTTTCAAAGTTTGACAGATTTTGTATACGGCAAACTTGGCGTAGGCCGCTTCATCGTCGTCGAGTGATAAATCGAGGACACTATCATTAGCGCAATGTGATCGACTGACGATATTTTCCTCTCTGTTTGAAAGGTCTTCGCAGTTGAGTATGGAGCCGCCTAATCCGCAATGGCTAAATAAATCGGACCACGACAGAGAGCCCTTTGTGTCGTTGTCTTTGGGCGAATCATTGTCAACTTCCTTGGTTGGTAGCTGCGTCGATAAAGCGCCGTCGCTGACCGCCTGTAGAGAGTCTCGGGAGCCGATCATGTCTGACACGCCGTAGATCGTTTCGTACCACGAATCGCTGCGGGTCACGTCGGTGTTGAAGGTGACCTTTCGCAGCCTCCTCTTCAACGTCGACGTACTAGGCACCAGGCTTTTCTCGTGTTTCGGATTGAGTATTCTGTCCTTCTCGAAGTCCGAGTAGTCGGGGAGGTCGACGCTGTTGAAATCCTTGTCCGGCGTTTGCTCTATTATCGAGCACCGTCTCGCTTCGGCCATGTCGCTCAGTGGCGGCGGCGGTACGCTTTGCAGCAGACGGCTAAAGAACGCTCGCACTTTGCTGTCGTTACTGGTGTGCGAATCCGATTTATCCTCGGTTCTCTGCATCAGCGACGTGATGCGCGTCGTCGTATCGTCACCCGTCACCGATGGGTTGCTGTTCGCTGATTTGACGCTGTAGTTCGATTGGCTCGAGTGCCGCCGGCGCGATTCCAGCTTCCTGATGCGTATTTTCGACTTCCACTCCTCGTGTTTCGTTTTGAACCCGGACACGGTCAGTGGGTTCTCGTCTTCCGACTCGCTTCTAGGTATGTCCGGGTGCTTGGTGTAGTATACGTCCCTCGAGAGTGGCTTCGCGAACATATGCTCCGGCTTGACCTCCTCGAACGGTTCCATCTCCACCGAGATCCAGGTCGTGTCCAAGCAGTACCAGTAGCCATTGCGCTGTAGCACTTCTTCAGTCGTAAGTAGCACTATGGACACCATCTTCGTTCGATCTCCGGAAAACAACTGAACGACGAAAATAATTCCGAACCATTTCCCTTGTTATGTAAATGTTTACTTATTCAATTTGTCATTTTTCAAAACATCAAGAGGGATCATTAACAAATTATGTTGATGTTAACGCACCTTTAATCACTACGTTCGTTAAATATTGTTTTCAAAACTTTTCATAATATTTGCTTACATCGGATTTGTGCGCATGTAACGTAATATGAGCTCTATTACAATTTTACAACAGCCAAATACAACGAATTCGAAAATGGAATGTTATAAAATCAAGGTAGTATTATTTTGACGATCAATAATAAGGTGCTCTTATGTTGAATAAAGATATTTGAATTTGAATTTCGGCCAAATAAAGACGAAAACGAAAATAACCATCAATACATCGGGAGCGGAATCACCTTGACGTTTATTATTTAAGAAAATATTTTTATATTGTACAAACGGCCGAAATAGAACGAATTCGAAAATGGAACGTTATAAAATCGAAAACGAAAACAACCATCGATTCATCGAGAGCGGACTCACCCTGACATCGGAGGGCGCGAGCAGTGCGCAAGGGCCTAGCAGTCCTACACTCTCCCAGCAAGTCATTTTCGCTGCGGGCGCTCGCGTCCACCGTCCGTCGCCTACTCCCGACGAGTCCGCTATCGCATCGCGATGCACCGGCACCGGCCGGGGTTACGTAAGCCGTGTCGCGATACGATTCCGCACATCGGGCACAAAGCGACCGGTCAAAGCAAGCGTGAGGCGCCAAGCGATCCGAAAGCGGCTTAACCGAACGTCAAAATTACGAGGCTGAATCGAAGCGAGCGGGTGTCACCAGGCGCGGGCTTGCGGGCTGGGGCCGTTGCTGCTCCGTGCTCGGGCGGTATACGATGGGGGCTTGCGCGTTCTGGTCTGCGCGCGTGGTGCATAGGACTGGTGTGGATTGAGGCAGCCGGCCGCGGCGCTGCCTTCCGCTCGACTGAGGCGCGGCGCGTGTCCTTGGGCTGCGCGCATGCCCATCGTCGCCGCCTGAACGCAGCGTGCCGACACGACTCTCTTTACAGCCCTCGAACCGGACGATTGCTTCCTTCGGCTTGTCGCTTTTCCAACGGAGCAGTATCTAGAGTGCAAGTCGCTAGCGGAGATCTCTTTTAAAGTTCGAGCGCAATCGGACGTTATTGATGTTTGCACAGAAGCTGTCAGCTGTTTGTCGAGGGCGTGCCGCTTAGTGACGTATTGACAATTTAATAACGTACCGTTGTTATAATTAGAATATTGTCGGCGCCCTTAACAACTTATCTTATCTTTGATTACCCTCCCGATATCTAAACTACATTTCAGATCTCGAGTGTATTTCAATATTGATTATGTAGCGACGTTGTATATGTAGCGACACAAATACCAATTTAAGTAAAACGTGATAGGTATTGTTCGCTGGATGTAAGTCGTGACGCAAGGGGCCGCTCGAAATGTGGACCGTGACCTAGTTGAAGAGCAGCACGCGGCATTTCGCATCCGAAGTGATATTTAAGAGGGTAATACAATTTGAAACACCCCACTGCCACCTCAGATCGCGTTCCAGGCGCCATGCAGTCTACAACTATTATAACAAAGCTGTTTATTTGTTCGTGTAATGGCTCCTTCATTAGCAGGATAATGGATGCGCCCGTTTTTTAGTGTTACATCGCCCCGAGTCCTTTTCAAAGCGCAGTGCGGTGTGTTATTGTTCGTGAAAGGGATACGCTGAAAGGAACGCTTTCGGCCGCACAAAGGGAAACAAATGACGAGTCTTCCAGAAGCTTCCCGCCGCTTGTTTCCCCACGTTTCTATTTTCGAAACGAGCGCATCTCAGAAATGGATACGGAAAGGGAAAATCTTGTGGGGATTCCAATGCAGTCTCCGACTAAGAAAAGAAACGGTTCGCTTGTTTACAAACTAATACTAATAAATATATTGTATGCTCGCAATCAAAAATTATAACACAGCTTTAATGCTATGCAAATAATAGACGAGTCTAAAATATTCAGGGCGAAATTATTGTTACCAATTACTTTTATGGATGCGATACTTAACTTGCTTCTTAACATCGAGATCGTAATGCTTTAACCTCTGAAAGAACTTCGCCTGAGCCCTATAAAAACTCCTTGATGACAGATGATTCTAGATCTACCTGTACGTGGGCATATCTTCCAGGATTTCGCCAATCACCTATTGTCGAGGCTGGTGATAACCTCTTCCCGGCTGCACGTCGAGACATCTTCCGTTCATCAGCAAGACCTCCGCGATATATGGGTTATATAACAAAGATAGAGGAAGTGCATCCTTCTTTTAAGTGTTAGTACCTGGAGGGCCTCGGTTTTTTTGGTAAATCATGTATTTTTGAAATAAAAAAAAATAAAGAAAATGTTCTGGTGTAGACGAAAAGGTAAAAAAAAAATAAGTGTGTAAATGATCGTGATACGAACCGCGCCGTCTGTTTTGGGGCCGCCGCGTTATAACATTTTTTTGCGGCGAAATTTATTGTCATATTCGAATGATATTTTTCATTCCTTGAAAACAGGGATAAAAGGACATTTTCTAAAAATGAAACCTAGCTAGATCGATTTTTCGCCCCCGAATCTACGCACATATTAAATTTCATGAAAATCGCTATCTAACTTTGGTCTTAAATAAAATTTCTATGGCATAAAAGTATCTCAAGTTTTTCAAATTTGATTAAAATCCATTTATCCCTTGAAAATTAAAGAAACATATTTGATTAAAAAAAATCTTAGTTTTTTAATATAAGCGCGATTGAAATGTCCAACGAACGAGTCGTAATTTATTTAAAATCTCCGACGAAAACTAGAAACCGTTAGCCTGGAAACGACGCATTGAAGCGTAACTAACGCCTGGACTACTTTTATACACGTTATAATAACACCACTTTGTAAAAAGGTCACGGCTTTAATTCTAGGCGGGTTATTAGCTATCCCCTTTGCAGTTATGATGATGATACGTAACAATTGTACAAATCGTAATAATTGAGGGAGAACCTCAATTATTACGATTTCGTTCTCTATCGTAAATTAAAATTTGTCGTTATTCGACATCGTTCGCAACGTATGGAAATTTCAGCGCCAAATTCATCAGAACTCGAACGTGTTTTTAAATCAATATTTTACACATCAGTATGAGATCAAACCAGTGTATTCATTGGAAGACAAAGTGTTTGGCTATGTGACCACCATGTGCTGGTTGGTAACACGTGTAAACATTATGCTCACAACATACATAACTCTAGTTTCCAAAAAATGATCGAAAATATTAAACCGCTAATGTTCCAATTATCCTTAAAACGACGATTGCATCGGCTTCTGTCTCCATCGCTCCGTTAATAGCTGAGGAATTATTGAAGGTGTACATGAAGCAGCTATGGAATACGAACAGAAAATCTTAACGAACACGACCACCGTGAGAAGGGCTGCTAATTTGATGTCCTACTACGCTCTATCAGGTCCATGTGGTGTCTAATAATTAGATGCAACGCCACACGAGTTAGCGAAGGAAGTCGCAAATTGACATTGTTGACACGGCGAGTGTGTAATGCAATTGGAGAGCCGGGGACGATTACGCAAACGGTCCACTGAGAAATTCCATGTTGAAAAATCCTTAGTATTAATCGTGCTTGTTAAAGGATCCTTTAACACTATTTTATGCAATGAGGAGCAAGGATTATTCCCTAAAATTCCACCCATATGGCTAATTTATGACGGCAATCAACCGTCATAAATTAGATCGTTAGTGGTTAAAGCGTCTGGGCGCTAATCCGGAATACGAGGCCGCGAGTGCCGAAGAAGTGGGTTCGATTCCCACAGCGGCGACAATCTTTACGTACTTTTTCTACAAATTTTAATGTTCGAATGAATTCTACTTTTTTTTAATTTGTTTTCATTATCCAATGGTATTAGCAAAAAAAAGTTGTTCCTCTACAAATTTGAATATTACCGAACAAAAAAAAATAATACCATCAAGAAACAACGGACACACAACAAATTAGACAACCGATACTAAAATTAAAATAAAATCCAATTGGTAGCATGGAAAGATGACGCTTAATAACAAGGCATAATTAATGTAGCAGATTTCTAAATTAACCCCAAGAAATAAATTTGTCACAATTGTTATGAAAGAGATCCTTAATTTGCAAAGATTCGTGTTATACGTCGTTTTTAATTTGTCAGGGCTCATTTGGTAATTACTCACTGAGTGAGACTGACTAATGGTTGCCTCTGTGTAAAACAGCGGTGGCAAACCTTTTTCAAAACAAGTGCGGAATGAATAATTTTTACAGCGCGGTAGGCGTTGTTTTTTTTAGTGATTTAAAATTTAATCGATTTAATTTCTCACAAATATCAGCTGAAAAAGATAAATTAGATCAGCCTGGTAGCGTCTTAAAATATTATTAATTAAACCTTTTTGTTCTGGAGGAATGCTTTTATTTCAATCAAATCAAAAACACTATTATTATTACATATTTTTAAATTATTTCATTATGGTTAAGAAAACTATGGGACAAACAAATCTTCCGGTGATTCTATACAGTCTACAATCTAATTACAATAGCATAAGGCGATCAAAGCTCTTCCTACGTGTTGGAAGATATTATAGGCATCTTCAAACGCTTTAAATAACTTGGTAAAGTTACTCCATCTTGCATTTTGGTAAGCCACAATATTCCTGAAAGTGGATTACGTACGTAAGTTGCTTGTAAAGTTTAGTGAGTCTTATTGATTATACATACAATGGCTCTTCACACGGATAAACTTTAAATGATAACGATGTGATGTCTTAAACCACTCCACATCGTTTGCTCATTGATATTCATTTGATATTTCTCAACAAAACTAATCTCATTAACTTATGTCGCTGACGGATTATTCCCCGAAGTTATCGATAGCATACAAACAGACAACATAGAACCTCTTCATTATATTAGTGAAGATAATCGACGCATTGCGATTTTCGGTTTAATTACTGCATGGTGCGTTTTGGTTCAACTGCTAATTTTCTACTTTCCACCGCACATCGGTATTATTTAAAATACAAAAAGGGAAATTATTTCGGTGACAAATATTTCAAGCTTTAAGTTTTCAAGTGTTAAGCGAGTATTTCAGTTTTCGGCGAGCGGACAGTGAATGTTTAAACGTCGGGCAATCCATCTACGAGTAGCGTCAGGTTTGCAATACCGCTAGGTATTGGCGCGTGACGTTGCTCAGATATAACTCGTTCGCTGGCTCTCGGGACATTCACTTGGACGAAGGGATTGATGGATTGCAAAATGAGCCGATGTGCAACGCGTATACAATGACCGCGCCGGTTGCGGTGGCTGGGTGAAGCAACAGACGATATGCGATCCGTCCGAGATAAATAATCAATGTGTTTGCACAATACACGCCCTGCAATGAGATTGAGCACGCGCAATCCCTGCTAAGTTTTTTTTTTTTTAATGTGAGGAAGTGGCAAACTAGCTGATGGTTCACCTGATGCTAAGTGATAACCGCCTGCCCATGGACATTTGCAACATCCGTAGGGTTGCAGATGCGTTGAAAGCTCTTGATAATGTGGGCCCCGGCTACCTCACTCACCAGACGAAACGCAGAAATGCAACACCTCTAATTTACGCCGGTCTTCTGTGAGGTCGTGGTACTCACCCGGACGGACCTGCCCATTCGTGCAACAGCGAACACTGTTGCGTGGCCCTACCACCGCAAAGTGCGTCATCATCATCTTCTTTTGAGGGCGGTTTGAGTCCACTGCTGAACATAGGCCTCCCCCACAGAGTGCCACGGACCGGAGCACGATCCTGAGCCACCTGCATCCATCGACTTCGCGAACATTTGCACAGGTCGTCACTCCATTAGTAGCGGGTCGTCCTACACCTAGATGGCCAGTACAAGGCTGCCAATCAAGAACCTTTCCTATCGATTATCGGTTCTACAAGCTATGTGGCGGGCCCGTCGCCATTAGTGTCTTAAGTGCATCAAAGGGAGCCGGCCCATAGCCACTAGTTACTTAAGTGAATCATTGGGAATTCAATTACTGCATTTAATGGCGTCAGCTTTCGGTCGCTTTTGTAAAGCTTCGTTGGAATACAGTGCCACGGATGTGGTTGGACTGGATTCATAGTAAACGCATCCGACCGGCTTCCCGCCTGGTCGGGGCGGAGGGCTTAGTAGCCGATACTTAGTCCCCACGGAGAAGCGAGAAGCCGCTAGGCAAAGCTGTGCTGGAGACAGCTGTACCGAGTTGGCTCATAAAGCCTACTCTGGATGCGTGCAAGTAGGGTGCGGGTAGGATGAGGGCGGTTAAGGCCGGCCACTCTTCCCGTCCTCTACTGTCGAGGTGGAATCTTGGTATTGCGTTTGATCACTTTCACTCCTTCGCATCTCAGCAGGACTAAGCCACGGGAGGAGAGGGTAACTTCCCGAAGGTTTGCTAAGGCTAAGGCGGCCAACGCTGGCAGGGTTACTGGCAGGAGTGCAAATGCTTTCATGGGGGTTTTGGTGGGTGCCAGTACGAAATAGCCCATATTTGCCGTGACGGTTATGCGTAGACATTTGACACATGACAGTTCACTTTATACTAAAAACTAATATACGGTAAAAACTTCAAATGGTCACACTATACTGGTTCCAATTAATAATATGAAATCAAGTGCTTGATTGGTTTGTCCTTCTTTTGGGTAGTAACGAAGCAAAAACAATCCAAATTCTTTTTCCTCGTCATTAATTCTGTTATTAAAGCTTCTATGTCAATACATAATTGTTTTGATAAAGTTAAAAGTAGTGGACCGTAAACTATTACAGGCTGAGAATTAGGTATACAGTTCCAAAACCAAGAAACTCCATGTGGACAATTGTGCACCAGTGTGCAATTCTTCGCATGGAAATAAAACCTTATATAAGACCTGTCACTACAAAGCAAGTACGGAAAAAATAAGGTAATTTAAGCACAAATTCTAACCAAACCTAGTACTGTTATTGAAATAACCGAGTATCGTCCGCTTAGCTTAGTGGCTAGGGCGTCTGGTCGTGTTACCGGAAGACGAATAAAAGAGCTTCCAATCCTGACAGCAGCAAAAAAACTTTCGTCAATTTGTTAAGTTCAAGGGTTAGGAGCATTTAAGAATAAAATTAAATAGAGTAGGTATCGTGGTGAAATGGAAACTACTGAACTGGAACTGATACTAAGCCCAACGAAGACCGCTTCGTTGTT